CAATAGTTGATAGGTATTTATTACCTAAATTTGAGAATACTTGAATAATTTTAAATACCAAAATCTAAATTTTAATTATATGGAGTTGCAGCATTATTTATAGCATCTAAATAGGAAGAAGTATACTCAGTTCCTCATGTAAGAGATTTAGTGTATGTTTGTGATAATGCTTATATTAAAGAAGAAATTCTAGAAGCAGAGGGAAAAATTATATCATTATTCTCTTTTGATTTATTAACCACTAGTCCTTATAGAATGCTAAACATTTACTAGGGAACAGCTAAATTGGAGTAAAAAAATTTTATGCTTTGCAGGTGTTATTTTTGTAATTAGGATTTAAAGTAAAATTATTTAATTTAACTTTTTTAATTATATTTTCTGAATTCAAATATTTTTTATTGATAAAATACATCATATTTATAACAAAATACATTTTTTTTTTAAATTATTTTTATACATGTAAAAATTATCACTAGATTCTTAATAGAACTATCTTTATTAGAATATTCTATGATTTAATATTCAAATAATGTTTTAGCAAGTGCAGCTATTTATTTAGTTCATAAAATCAGAAGAATTCATCCCTCATGGAGTTAAGATTAGATGGTATCAATAACTGGTTTAAATGAAATTGACATTAGAACTTGTGCAAAAGAAATGTGTAATCTCCTAAAAGACCAAGATTAAAAACAATTTAATTAGATAAGAAAAAAGTTCTCATTACCAAAATATTTAGAGGTTTCAAAAATTAGAATTGAAAAGCGTCCCTCTTAAAATTTACAAACACTTCCATATTGAGTTTAGTTTGTGATAGCAAATTCTTTGTTTTTGATCAATTAATTGTTTTATAAACTATATGTTTATTCATCATTCGACTAGTTTTTTTAATAAAATTGCCTTCATTTGCCTCTTTTTTTAAAATAATGAAAAGTATTTTTTAATTTTAAATTTATTAATATTCGTTTTTAGTTGATATTTTTATTTTTAAATGATAGTTTAAAATTACCTAAAATATAATAATTTAATTTAAAACAAATTTAGATGAGAAAATGAAAGATTAAGTCATGGTATATTTCAATAAAAATTTGAGATTTGAATTTTTAAAAATAGAAAAATCATTATACAGAAAAATAATACAATTAAAAAATATGATCAAAATTTCTCTCTTATTATACTAATTGTCAAGGAATCGGATTGTTTACTTTCTTCGAATAGTTAAAAATTATCTCTTAATTTTGGTAAAATAAATTTAACAATTGTACCTTTTACCCCAGTAGAGCTTTTTTCATAATTTATAATTTCCAAAGGTTTTTTAGGATCATATGCTAAATATCTTAAAATTTTTTTGCAAGTTGATAAACCAAATTTGCAATCATTTAATCTATTGTTAAGCTATTCTTAATCTACACCACCAAAATTATCTGAGATTTCTATAATAATCTTATCAATATCACATTATGTTTTAATAGTTATTATATTTTAGGGTTTTAGATCTGATTATTAGATTGATTAATTTTATTAAGTTTATGAATTTTCAAATTTTTCAATAGAATTGTTAATAATATTAATTAAAATTTATTTAATTTTTCTTTTATCAGATTATATTATCAATTAATCTTCATTATTTATCTCTTAAGAAATTATGATGTTGTGCTGACTTAAGAAAGGATTCTATTAAAAAATTTCTTTGACAATATTAATACTTGTTAATATATTAAATTATTCAATATCTAATGAAGGAATACTATATATTTCAAAGAAATTAAAATTGTTTTATTTCATTATTATTAGATCGAAATTTAGTTTTTCTAAATACTTAAGATTTTCTTATAATTTTTAGAAATAACATATTGATAATTTTTAAAAGTTCTCATCCAAACTATCATGATTGTGGCTAAGAGAAGCAGTAATTTTTTAATTTGTATTTTATCTTTGTGATTCATTTGGAATATTTTAATGAACTTGCTTAAATTCTTATTTACCGAATGTATTATCATCACAAAACGATACAGACTTGATCTTATCGAATTATCTTTCACTTAATTTATAATAAATACGTTAATTAGAACTACATGGATTTTTTCATAAGAATAACTTGTTTAAGCATTTAGCCTGATTGATTTGCCATCCTTCTAACAAATTTATAAAATATGAGTCTTTATTATTCTAAAATTTCATTTTTTTAAAGATTTTTCATATGGATAATAATTGTCTATTATTTCTTTTCAGTACATCGATCATCATCAACTAAAAATATTGTAAGACTTAAATTAAGTTTTATTTAATTAAGACATAATTAACATTACAATAATGTCTTCTGAGTGGATTCTTTTAATTCCATATTTAAAGGAGTTGCTGAGAAAGCAGGATGATCTAAGATTTAATCCTTTTAGAACATAAATCTTCCATCATTTTAAGGCGATATTATTGATTATTGATCTTCGTAAAATTATTATTAGTGGGAATCTGATCCATCTTAAAATAATTTTTATTTCTAAAAATTTTATCCATTATTAGAATTTAGTTATAAATAATTTTTCTCTAACCAATTTAAAAATGTATTGTTTTCATCTATTACGGATTGCGATAAATTTTATGATTCACCAAAAATATAAAGATTGTTAAAAAATTAACGTATATTTGCTTTATTTTCCTTTAAAAATCTCTATAAAACAAAGCTTTAACCTTTAATTTCCCAACAATGATGGAAAGTACAATTGGTGATTTCAATTTAGCAAATCCAATCATCAGTTAGATTATTAAATTATTCCCAAAGTGATGTAGTCGATTAATATTATTAAATAATTGTTTAGCATTTTTTTAATTCTGCTTAAGTATTTCTTTAATCAATAATACAATCTTCTTATTTTAAATCATTTGTATAAATTTCTATATTTTCATAAATTCCTATTAGAAAAAATAGAATAATATAAAAGATGATTAAAACTATTTGATGTTGAATAGTATTAGTTAGAAAGTTAAAAATGATTAAAACCATAGTCAGTAAAACTTGAAAAGTAGTTTTAGCTTTCAAATAATACCTCTTTTTATCTTTAATTTCTAATTTACTTGAGTAGATTCCATGTAGGAACCCAAATAAAAAATAAATAAACTCGCTTCTGTAAATTCCAACAAGAATAATTCTCTTTATGGCCAAAGTCCAAAAAAAAAAAGGCGATATATCTCCTAAAGTCATATTTAAGTTTTTACCCTACTTCCATCCTAATTTTTAAGTGATAAAAATCCAGGAGAAAAAAGTTCCACAGATAATTAAAACAATATCCATAATGATTGAATCTGAAATTTTATTAATATAACATTCTGTAAGAGCAAGAAAAGTAGAGATTAAAATGTTTATACTCATTCCAAAAATTTTGATTGGCTTATTTTCCATATTTACAAAAATTATTATTTATAATTAATAATATCAAATTTCTTATTCAATTCTTCGATACTTTGCTTTATAATTTAATAAGATATATAAATAATCTAGAGTAATAGTTAGACATCCTAATCATAATCCAAATCATTTGAATTCAGGCAAAACAATTGAATAATTTAATGCAAATTCAAATATTCAATGACAAATTCTTCTACAATTAAAGAGATCATTCCTATAATAATAAAGATTTTATATATCTGTCATAATCAAGTTAGATTATTTATTTGGTTATTGAATCTAATTTTTTTGATTCTCAAAAGCCAAATGCAACTTCAGAAATTTGATAGACAGTTCCATTGATTGCAACTTCTGCCTATATAAATTATTATTATTTATTTATTACTTAAGTATAACCAAAATAAAATAATTCAAAGGATATGATAGTTGTTTAAACTCAGCCAAATCCTATAACTTTAAGTAATATTTATTGATTTACAATTCCCTAAAGTCATTCAGCCTATTATTGATTGTTTCCTCGTAATCATTTCAGAGTAGACTTTCTTATTGTTTCTTTTACTATATTTATGTTTGATATATCCAAGTTTGAGGCTGGATGAGGAGGTCTATTTCTAAAAAACTATAATAGATAAATGCTTCAATCGAATTAAAATTGCGATCATCAATTCATTTCACTATTTATTATATCTTATACTTCCAATAGATCAAAATAAAATGAAGAAAAACCATATTGCTTAGAGTTGTTACCAACAATCTCTCATAAATAGTAAAAATTTTTAGAAAGAACTTTTTAAAATTAAAATCATAGCATCACTAATTCCAATGAAAAAAAACCTATCATAATTTTTTACTATGATTATCCTTCAATCTTTTCAATTTAAGTTATCAATAAGATATACCCTATAACAATGATTATACCAATTAAATACATGGTTATATTCAATAGTGGCTTTATACAAAAAAGGCCAGAATAAAAATGAGATGTATTACATATTCCCTATCCATTATATGTCTTCTGGTATGATATCATAATAAATTGCTATTTGATCTAAAATTGGACAGTAACTCACCTATTAGATTATATTAGCCATTCTATAGATTTATTAATTTTCTTATATGCAATTATTAAAAATGAAAACAAGACCAACCTATTTCAAAAAGAGGAGGACTTTATTTAGTTTACATTTTATTCTATTAATACAACTTCTTTGGACATTTTTATCCTATTCAAATTATTAGACTGTTATGAAATTGAATTATGAGATATAATAACTTAATACAATTAAGGTATTTAATAAATTTAGTTTTATAGAAATATTCAAGTAATAAAAAATTATTTGTATAAATTAAGTGTTTGTTTAATTAATAATTTTCTCAAGCAGTTTGGCTTATCTCAATACCCATTATATTGGAATAAATGTGTAATATTTTTATTTAAATCAAATTACACATTAAGATTTTTTTTATTAAGTTTTCTAACATCATTTTAAACCATTGATGGTTTTGTATTGAAAATTGTATTATGAAAAGTATTTTTAAGAAGTTCCTTATCTGTGTTATCAAATGTATTCATCATATCTTAATATGAAAATGCAAATTTTCTCCAAACTCTATCCTTGATCATTACATTATAATTATACTTTTATTGGCTCTCTTCTATTACTCGTGTTTTTTAAAATAAAATAAAGGATGAATAACAATATCATAGACATTAGAAAATACTTAGGCTCAAAAAAACTTGAATTATAATCCAACTAGGATCTATAACTTTCATGAACTTCCATTAATTTATTGTTTTAATCAATTTTTGTTTTCAAATTATGAGTGATGAAGACAGTTAAGAATTGGAAAGTGAATAAGAGGAAGAAGAAGAAGAAGAAGATGAGGAGGAAGAAGAAGAATAATAACCATCAAAGGATGAATTCAATGAATTTCGAAAATATAATGCCTATTCAAGTTATGCATAACTAGAAAGAGGTTCATAAAAATAATACAATAATCATAACCCTTTAGAATATTATTATTAAAATAATATTCCTATTCCTTTTTAACCATAAGTTAATTATTATGACAAAATTTAAAGGCATCAAAATTAAATTGATAATGCCATGGTTTCACTTAATATGTTATAATATCCTAAAATGCAAATGTAAAACTATTATAATAACTATAATCAGCCAGATCATTTATAATAATAACAATATAATCCTCATTTTTATTAATAAGCAAACCTTCCCCCTTAATTAAATAATTATTAACCACCACCTCCTAATTCATAATATTAAAATTATTAAAGAAAAAGATCATATGATGATATTATTCCGGATCCTTATTAAGATTAATATAATAATTAAAGAAGAAGAAATTCATTTAGAGAATAAAATTTTATTCCACAATCACATCCGCATTTACCTTCTTCCCAATATCCAATTTAATATTAATAATAATAATATTAATAATAATAATAATATTAATAACAATAATATAATCCATTACAAAATCAATGTCCTAATCAATATATCCATTAATAATAATAAGGTCCTTAATACCCTCACTAATATTATTATCAATAGCCTTATTAAGATTAACAAGATTATCTTCAATTTTAAAATTACCCTTAATAATCATCAGATAATGTGAATAATTAATACAGAGGTTCAAGACCCCCTTTACCTTCATAAAATAATCAAAAAGAAGAAAAGAAAGTAAATTTATAAAAAAATGAAGATTAATAATTAGATTTAGAATATTTGGAATTCATGAGATTTAAAGAAGCTGCAAAAAAATAATAAAAAATTATTGATGATAATGAATATTAAGATTTTGTAGAATTTAAAAAATCAAAAATTTAATAATAAACAAATAATCCTGGATAAACAACATAATAAAGATAAGTTAAAGAGTTATACAAGAGGAATAAATAAAGTATAATTGTAAATATAAAATTAAGTCTAAACAGAAGTTGAATTGAGAACAAAATTTAATGAAACTAAGTTTGAAAGGAAACCAGCTGAGAATTATAAATCTAAATACGTTGCTCAATAATTAGATGCTAATGTTGAAATTCAAAAAGCAATGCAAATTCTAATGAAAAAATGAATAAAACTAATTAATAAATTGCAACTCACATAAAAAAATCCAAAAACTCATCGAATAACTCATCGATCTATTTTTTTAAGTCTTAATCTCCATTATTATAAACATCCAAGCAAATTAATTCAAGTTGTTTACTTATCCTTAAAATAGTTTAATCAATTTCTTTCTCTTTAAATTGATATCCATTTTGAAAGGTAATGGAATATATTAATTATGAATAAAATTTTTTTTAATTCAATTATTATTCTTTATTCGGAAGGAAACAAAATTTTAAATTTGCTGATTTATTATTAATTTAATTAGAAATATCCGATAAAATATCTAGATAAATGTTAAGATTCATTTCTTGTTGTTGTTTAATGATTTTTTTCTTTTGTACTGTTTAAAAGCCTGAATAATATTTGTGTTCTGTAATTATCCCATTAGATTGATATATAGAGAAACAATCTTTATCTGGAGCTTGAAGATGATATATTTTTTAAGTCTCTATAATTGCATTTGGTAAATCATTTTATTATTTCATGATTTTATATAAATTATTTAAATTTTATGAGAGTGAAGATTTCAAAAACTCGAAACCTAAACAATTTTGTAATTAATTTATTCATCTTGTAAAATATAAAGGTGACAATATTTTTAGAAATTTGGTAAAATTTTTTTCAAATAAGTATAAAATTTAATTAAATTAAATATATGAAGAAGGAGGTGACATTAATTAATGAGGATCTCTTTCTATATCTAAATAAAATTTAGGTTCTTATTTTTTTATATAATTTGATTAAGCAAGGCTAATAGAAAAATCACAAAAAATTAGAATGAGCTGATAAAAAAGAAATTTTAATAATCCACATTTAGGGAAACTCTATATTTTCATCTTCAATATCTTCATAAGAACACATAAATAAAATAATGACAGAATAGATGAAAGCAATCTTAAAATTCAATATTTTACAACCTCTAATAATGGAAGAATTTAAGAGTTAATAGCACAGAATTCTTTACTATAATTAAACCATTAACTCAAAAATAAGAAGTTTTTATTTTGAATTTAATTTCTTTATTTTTTTTCTATTTGCTTCTAATATTTTATTTCTTGATTCAAAAATATATTGTATATCATAAAAAGTCTGAAACAACCCTTCTCTTTAAGTTTGAGATGAGGAAAAGATTTTACTACTAAATAGAATTTTTTTTAGAATAATTAATTTTATATATTAAAACACGAGGGGAATTGTGATAAATACATTTATAATCTAACCATCTGATCGAAGTTTTATGATTATAAAGGTAATATTTTGTACATTTTCAAGTAAATCATACATACTATTTGATTTACATTTTCTATTTGTTATTTCAGCTTTTCGAATACAACTGAATGAACGGTTTGTTTATTAGTTCAGATGAGTTAATGAAGAATTTTAATAAATGAAGTATACACAATTAGAAAAATTAACTGACTTCCCTTAATGATACTTTCTGAGTAATTTTGATTTCGAAATCATTATTTTTTTTGATATTTAAAATCTATCATTTTTTGATAAATTTTAAAGCCATAGAGTTAATTTATTTTTTGGAAAAATAAAATTAAATAATTTTTTTGTTAACTGCTTATTTATATTATTTCTAAAACCAATGATTAGTGCAGCTATGTATATTTATTAATTAAAGATCATTTATTATATAATTAATAAATAGTAAATGAAAACACAATATTTTGAAAATGATTCCACATTGTAAAGATAATTGTAAATTAGCAGTTTTTCACATAAGAATTTTTGAAATCTTATAATAGTAACATTATATTGATTTATAATAATTTCTCTCAGATTTTGGTTCTTTACTATCTGTATCATTAAAGAACTTGCAGGATAAAATGACTATTGTATAATTCTTTTTATTGAAATTTAATTGATAATATTAATTATCAGGAAGTAGAGTTATTGTTGTGATTCTTGTTTAAAATATTAAAATATTATTTATATAATATATTAGAATTATTTTTTATCGTATCGAAAATAATTTATCAAAATATATTTTTAGATTGACACATCATTATGTATAATTTTTTATATTCACTTATATATATAATTAAGAAATATATGTAATAATAATAGGATCAATTGAAGATAGCTTTTTTGCACCCTGGTAATAATAAAAAATTCTAAAATAGATTTGGGTATTGGAGGCGCTGAATAATTAGTAGTAAATCTTGCATTGGCATTACAAAAAAATCATTATGTAAAAATATATACTCCACATCATGATCCTAACCATTCATTTCCTGAAACTAATGGATAAATCCCAGTAGAAGTAAGAGGAAATATAATACCTGCTCATATATTTGGTATGATGAATTGTAATATTTAAAAGGATATTGTACTGCAATGTGTGCATATATAAGAATGATATTAGCAACTTTGTATATTATATTTTTTAGTGGTCGTTGGGATGTTATCATAATTGATTAAGTATCTGTTTGTTTACCATTATTTTGGTTGTTTAGAAGAAAAACAATATTTTATTGTCATTTTCCTGATAAATTATTATGTGTAGAGAGGAAATCATTAATAAAAAAATTTTATAGATTATTCTTAGACTCATTTGAAGAGATTAGCATGTTATTTGCTAATTTAATATTAGTAAATAGTTAATTTACAAGAGAAATAGTAAAATAAGCTTTTCCTATTTATAATAAATATGGTAGACAACCTGAAGTATTATACCCAGCAATAGAATTTTCAAAATTTGACATACCTCCAGATCTTAATAGACATGATAGTAGATTAAGTGGAAATAATTATTTTTTATCTTTAAATAGATATGAAAGAAAAAAGAATATTGCATTGGCAATTCATGCATTTGCTGCATTTAGATAATAATTATCTTAAAATGAGAATATAGAATAAATAAGATTAGTAATAGCAGGAGGATTTGAATAACGAGTGGAAGAAAATGCATAACATTATGAAGAATTAAATTAGATTGCATAAAGATAAAATGTAGCTGAATATGTGTCATTTAAAAAAAATATATCTGATTCTGAACGAACTTGGTTGATGTCTAATACTTTAGCTGTTCTATATACACCAGAAAGAGAACATTTTGGTATAGTTCCAGTTGAAGCTATGTATAATTAAGTTCCTGTAATTGCATGTAATTCTGGAGGACCCAAAGTATTTATTATTATTGATATAATAAATAGGAATCAATTTAGAATGGAGTAACTGGTTATCTATGTGAATCAAAAACTAATGAATGGTGTTAGAGAATGATAGAAATTTACTAAAATAAAGAAAAGAGTAAAGAAATGGGAGAAAAAGGTAGAGAAAGGGTTATATAATTATTTGGATTTACTTAGTTTTAAATGCAAATAGATAGTTATGTTAGAATGGTTTCCTCAAAAGGGAAATAAAAATAATAATGAATATTAAAGGTTATTTTGGAATCATTTTATTAATATATAATATATTAAAATACGTAATATTTTGGAATTAAATCCAACTTACAAAAAATGACATCATTTTTAAAATAAAACATCTTTTCTTCTAAAAACACTGAACAACCACCATAGACTGGCCAGGTCACTTAATTAAACCAGCTAATATGCTTTTAGATTATACTTCTTAAAAGGTTAGTTTATAAAAATTTAAATTATTTTAGGTTGTGATAATAGATAGCTCAATAGATAATAATAGAGAGAATTTCTTAACTATGCTAGAATAGATCCATATGGCCATTCCTTCATGATATACAATTCAAATGAACTTAAAAATAAGGTTAATTAATGGAGGTAAACCCTACCTTGGATAACACCATATTATGCAATCAAGAGCAACCCTATTGAACCTTTAATATAAGATATCATAAATGGACCTTATGGAACATTTGATTGTGCCTCAAAAGGAGTAAAATATTAATATTAACCTTTAGGAAATCTAAATGGTGATGAAATATGGAGTTCCCGCTTCAAAGTTGGTTTATAGTAATCCAGTAAAAGAGGAAAAAGATATCTACTTTGCTAAGAATAAAGGAGTCTAAATAACAAGTGCAGACTCAATTGAAGAATTAATAAAGATTTAAAAAATAGCACCAGAAATGAAAATATTATGGAGATTATCTATTGTTGAAGAAAACCCAGAATAAATGGCTACACTTTTTTCTGGTAAATTTGGGGATGATGTGCCAAATTTAGATGCTGCTCATAAAAGATTTAAACAAATTCAATAAATGGGTATTTAATTACATGGTATACATTTTCATTGTGGAAGTGCTGTTTAAGGATCATCCTCTTTTGGAAAAGTAATTTAATTTAAATATATATTTAGGCTGTTGATTTGGCCTAAGAATGTATGAGAATTGGAAGATTATATGGACATAAGATGGAATTATTAGATGTAGGAGGTGGATTTCCTACTAGTAATATTCATGAAAATGCAATTAATGCATTAAAAAGAACTTAAAATGATCCTTTAGGATATTAAGTAATAGCTGAACCAGGAAGACATTTTAGTGCTAATACATGTTCTCTTTTATTTAGAATTATGACTAAAAGAATTAAGCATGGAAAATTATGTTATCATGTTAATGAATCATTGTATCATTCTTTTAATTGTATACTTATGGATGGTATCTCATTTGAAAATTAAAATGATCAATTTTATAGTGTTCTTAATTCTGAAGAATCAATAGATTCTTAAATTTCAGATTAATCAAATGTCTCAATATTTGGTATGACATGTGATGGTGCAGATGTTATTGCAAAGAATATTACTGTACCCACAGATATGTAGGTTGGAGATTGGTTATGTATGTAAGGAATGGGAAGTTATACAATTGGACCTAAATCTACATTTAATGGAATGAAATCAACTACCAAAATCTATCAATGGAGTGGCTAATTTGAATAATAAAGCTAAGGGTAACCTTAGATTGCAATCAGCTAAATTTGTTGATTTATTATGATTATTATTATGGACAAAAATATTATATAAACATATTATTATATTCAAATTAATTATTCATAAGAAAATATATTTCTCACTTCTTTCTACTTATCTAAGAACTTTTAAAGAATTAAAATAATATTAAAATTATAACAAAAAATATTAAAAATCACTCTCTATTATAATTTAAATTATTCATTCAAAAATTGCATCTAGCAATAATATTATCAAAATTAAACTATCATTTATGATATAATTATTAAAAATCTTATACATTTATTAAGAATTATAGATTATTTTGTATTTATTATGAATTTTTTAATTTAATACTATTTATATCAGTTCCTTAATCGATATAGCAATTAAATTTTTTTATTAAACAAAAATGGAAATTCTTAATTTTTAATTATGTTTTTTATTTTTAATCTAAAAGGACTTTTGTGTAACATCATCTTAATCAAAACAATATTTTTAAAGTTTTAATTCAAATTTATAGATAAAATATGAAAATTTTAAAACTGTCAATTTAATTATTATCTAATATTCTTCAAGAATATTCTTTATGCTTCCTATCATATTGCAATGACTAAAATTGATTATTCTTTAAAAAAATTAATTTAGATAAAATGGGATCCTATCCTAGTTATTGTTGCTGCCCTTAATCTTATTCTAATAAGGAATAACAAAATAAAATAAGTAATGATGAATTACAATTGAACTAATTTAAAAAACCATTTTTTAATTAAGTTGTATAAATCAATCCAGAAGATGATTCTCCATTACTTTAAATTATTGCAACATATGAATAGTTAATTAAGAAAAAATCAATAAGTACAAGTTATAATTGCTCATCAAATAAAAGAAGTCGCTCAATATCTGTTGATAATAAAAATTAAATACATTAAGAATCTCTTGTCAATACAAAACACTGGAAAAGAAAAAAAATGGCATATTAAAGATCTTTAAGTGCTTCATAATTTATTAATAGTATATCTAAATAAGGCACTGCATATAAGCCAAGTAGTATATTGAAAAAAAGATCAAATACTCAAGAATCTCAATTCTAGAAAAAATCAAAAAATAAAGTTTCTTTTCTACCCTTTATTTTATAATGTAATACTAGTAAAATGATTGATTATTTTTGAATAACATTTAATTTATAATCACATATCTATTTAATTACGGGAGAAAAACTATTAATAAAATTCTTTTTTCTTTTAATATTTTCTTAATATATATATAATTGCTTAAATGGGGTAAATATAATAGATATGTGCAAATAATATACCACAATCTGAATCATCAATAACAGATATAAAACAACTTCAAATTAAAAGAGACTGTCATAAGGATAACAGTTCTAAGGTAATTTTTGAATAGAGTACAGTGATAACGGAAACATTAGATGAGCTTCAATCAAAACTATCTCATGATGAAGATAAATAAAATCAAGATTTAGAAACAAATATTAGTATTGTTGAGTCATTTCAGAAGTTGGAAACAAAAAATTTATCTCAGAGAGAGTTAGATTAAATCACTGACTAGAATGTTAATAATAACTTAGATGGAACTAAAAATAGATCAAAAAGTGTATTTATTCGCAATATACTTTCTGAAATACCACCAAAGAGCATTTTAAAAAATAGAGAAATGCTTTAGGATTAGGAAAAAAAACATTTTACATAATAAAAAAGAGTTAGGTTTTCAATAAAGGAATTACACAAGAACAAATTTCAATAAAAGTATAATGGATACAAGAAAATTTCATATATTTGATTCTTAATATTACTACTTGTTTATGATATATAATTTAATTTCAATCTAATTCGTAAATAATTATTCTTCGATCATAACCTCAATTATTCTTATATTTTATTTTAAATGATATGCATTATTGTAAATAGCAATTTAATTAAATAAATATTAAATTTTTTTACATAATATTAATCTGAAACATGACAACAAATGTCTTATTCATTAATTAAAAAATTATAAAAACTCTGAATTAAATTAATCTCATTTAAATAATTACAAATAAAAAAATTTACAAAATAAATAAAAAAATAATTATTTTAATTTTTCTAAGTAGACTCAAAGCAAAGCCTTTTTACATTATTCTTATTTCTTGTTGCTAATTTCTATAAGAATTCAAATTTGAACTATTTAAAAGGATTCATAATGAAAATTTAAGATTAATATCAGCAAAGACTCTATTGAACCATAAGATAGAAAACCTACTTATTAAAATACAATTATTTGATTTGTAATCTAAGATTTAATTATTCTTTCCAGAAATAATCTTAAAGATTGTTAATAACAATAATTTGAAGCAATTAAACGACAAGTTAATTTTTAATATTGAAAATAATGCATCATATAATCATTCATTTTATCCATCTTTTGTAAAATAAAGCAGATAGAGAAATTCTAAATGTTTCTTGACAAACTATATTGTTAATTAGAAGTTCTTAAGAAACCTAATTAAAAATAATAGACAATTTAGCAAAGTATGGGTTCATCACCTTGCTGTTGCAAAAATACTTAAGACACTATATAAGAGATGAAGCTAAAAATAGAACCACGAAACAGCAATCATGATAATATGGTGGCAGATCTCAAAAAACCAATTCCCTTATAATAAATTATGCCTCTCCAAGAGGAGGATGACTTTGCATTATTTTTGGTAATGGAACAATATGATCGCTTATTAATAAAAAACAAAAGAAAAAGCAAATCCTATTCGCCTGGAGGAGATGTTTAGACTTTTTCTAGAGAAAACTTGACATCTTATTATTTGAAGGGCAAACATCATCAAAAACCCTCTAAAAAAACAAGATCATTAACTACCAAGTTATCTACATCTTTTTAAAGTATTGGAATTCGGAGCATTTTGAAAAAAAAAGAACTTTCAAATAATAAATCCTCATATTTTCAATAAATATCAGATGCTCAAAAATCAATAAAAAGTGTACATTTTGATGTTGCTTTGAGTCCTAGAAATAGTATTAATAGAAAGGTAGATGTTTGGAAAAAAAAAAAAATATTTTTAAGATCATATTTATGAAAATCGAAGCTGAAATAATTATTGCATATAAACTTTGTATTATTTACATGTATTTGATCATAGAAAAATATTCAAAATATTTACAAAATGAATAAAAATTCATTTGGTTGAAATGATTTATATCTTTATTTTATTGACAGGATTATAATTGAAACTTTATAGATCTAAATTATAAAATAAATAGATATTTGAATAAAATTCACTTTCAAAAGTTTAAAGTATGAATTTTCTAAATGAAAAGAAATAAAAATGAATGAATTTTCTAAGAATCTGATATTTAAACTTAATTTTCATGAAGAATAGATTAAAATTTATTTTTATGTGAATAGTAAAATAATTGTTGAATTTTATAGTAAAATAATATTGATTATGGTAATTATGTGTAACTAATAAAAACTATCAAACTTAAAATGGTTTAACTTCGAATTCTTTTATATCTGTCTACTTCTCAGCTGCTGTGGTTTAGCGTGAGTCTGGAGAACGAGAAAGTTTTGAATCACGCTTTAATTTTTCTACACTTCTTTATGCATATTCTCTAAAATTGACTTTAGACCTATTGAAAATTTAATAATTGAAAACTAATCAGGAGTTTCAAACATTCTTTGTTATAATTGAAACATAAATTTCTTAATTTCTAATCTATCATTAGATTTTTTAATTTTTTATATTGTTTCTAAACGATCAATTAACTTAAGTTTCTCAAGATTCTCAAACCTTTTGACAGCATTGCTATACTTGGAAAACTCAAATTGATTTTTTTAACTAATATTTTCTTCAAACATAATTTTTATTTACTAAATAAAATTTAAAAAGTGTGAATGACTTTAAATATAGGAAAATAAATAAATGCTAATAATTAAAGATAAAAAATTAGAATTATAATAATAATAGGATATGATTAAGCAAGAATTGAGAATTTTAAAATATATTGATATAAAAATTATTGTAAAGATATTAATTTAACTAACAAATGAATAATAAAATCGAGGGAGATTTTTATCACAAAAATAAGGAGATTATAAAGTAATGATTATTAATATAATTGTTAGCCATTATCATTAAATCAGATGAAGATGGGTCTGTCTTGAATGAAGTAAATTAACTAGAAATAGAATTAATGTGATGGAAGTAGAAATATTTAGCTCTTCAAATTATAAGTGAAAGTTCAGGATTGGAAAGGCTTGTAATTATAAAAATTTTAGACTGAAACTTATTAGATGAGATTAAAGATACTCTTAGATGATATTTGTAAATTGTTGACATTAATTAAATAATTTATTAATGAAAATGAATAAAAGGATTTGCTAATTTCTCAGATAAGTTAATAAAAAAATTTGAAGGCAAATTAATAAAAGATAGACTATTAGAATAAGAGTTAAAAGACACAATAAGTTTTAACTTTACTTTGGATTTAAAACTTAGTCAAGTAAGATTAAAGAATGAAATTGCTTAATTAAAATATGAATTAGAAGAATAGAAGGATAAATATTTATAGAAAGATAATGAAGTTAAAACATTGTAAGTCTATAAAGCAGAAGCAATATTAATAAAAGAAGAAAAAACATATGATTGTAATTCACAAAATAATTGAAAGCAATATCTTTGGAAAAATAAATAATGGAAGAAGAACTATACATTAAATTGCAGATTCGAAATAAAAGATTGTAGAATTAGATTGAGATTAATTAGATTTAATATACAAGAATGATTAAATAAATAAATTGAATATGGATTTTAAAATAAAAGAACATTACTTGGACCAGAAATAGAGAGAGCTAAACTTAAATATAATGGAGATTAGAATACAAAAAAGTAATTAGAAGAGAAATTACAAGTTTATCAACACTTACATAAGGAGCTATGAACATTTGAGAGAATATATTAAATAAGGTTGAATAAAAAGCAAAAACTTTAGAGAAAGAAAAACAATACTTTACTTTAACAGCAGTGTCTGATGAATTAAACTTAACAGATTAAGGTGATCAGGATTTTGATTAAGATTAGTAAGATAATGAGGGTAAGAGAACTATGTTAGTATTTTAGATAGAAGCCTTGAAATATAAATAATAAGTAGGTGAGAATAAATTTTAAGAATAAGAATAATTGTTTGGATAGTTGAATGAGTGAGGATATGGATAACTTTGATAAGCAAATATAAGTGATTGGATGGAGAAAATAAAAATTTAAAGGCTAGATAACAGCAATTAGTCAGAGCTTATTGATAATTTATAAATATAATTATATAATAAAATAAATTAACATATGTGTCCTAATTTCACAATAACTATCTTATTGTTTTTGATGGGTATGGGTTTATGTGAGTAATGTACATGGACTGATGAAACAGGATATACATATAACCTAAAATCATTAGATAAGGATGGAGGATGGTAATTAAAGGACGAAACAAGTGGAATGGGAATGTTTAGTATGGTTTACATATTCAATTTTTGTGATTTCAAACCTATAAAATGTCATGATAGATAGGTGGGAGCAATAGAAGCATTAGCAGTTATGGGATAAATAACAGAAAATTGTGATGTTGCTGGATTGGTTGAAACTTAAACATTTGATCATTTGGATTAGAGAGATTTAGAAAAAGGAATAGTAGTTAAGTATACATAAGGAGATTTATGTATGGATCCTAAACAACCTACAGGAGTGATGTAACCAAGACAAGCTCATTTTTTTATTGAATGTGGAAATGATGATGCTACTTTTACAGTTTTACCAGATAATGAATGCATAGATTAATTTAAAATTAGACATCATGTTGGTTGTAGGAATGCAAGTATTAAATGCATTATAATAATTTAGGTTCACATATGTTTCTTAAATTTATTTTTATTATTTGTTTATATTTTGGGGGACGCTTCATTTACAATCGGAAGAAACTATAACTTGAGGGAGAGGAAGCCATTCCACATATTTAATTAATAAAAACTCTCATTCCTCAATTCAGAGCTATCTTTCATTTAGGTGTAGATAAATTATAATCTCAAGTCTAGAGGTTTAGACATGGTGGCTATGATAGTATATGAATAAATTAATTAATTAAAATATCTATGTACAGATTTCGATAACTTTGGAAATTCAGTACACTCTAATTCCACAAAGGAGTTAGTGAATATCAGAATGTTTCATAGAATGTAGTCCTAAGAGGAGTAACTCTTAAAGGCAGATATAATGATTTACCAAATCTCCTTTTCTTTCCTGAAGCTTGTGATCCTGTAGAAAATTGGATCCCATTCTTTAGTGACCCAAATAATAAGGTTAGATAGAGTCTTAATTACATAGATTCTTGATTATAGAAATGTGCATATTTTGAGTCCAAGAAATTTTGGTACATCTGATAAGCATTACTCATTTGATGTTGAAGATCTAGCCAACGATGTTGTTAGATATATGTATTATAACAAAATTACTATGGCCACAATGTCTGGACATGGATTTGGAGCAAAAGTTGCTTTAGCTGCTGGATGCTATCATCCTGAAAGAACAACAGGTGTGTTCTGTATTGATTACTCACCTATGGATTAAAGATATCATGAAGCATTTACAGAATTCAGAGGCTTTATTAAAAAATTATCAGAAATTAATACTAAAGAAATGGCTAAGTCATAAATTGAATCATTCCTTAAAGAAAATATTGAGGTTAAATTATTACAATATTTCTATAGTGTGTTAAATGGAGATCTATTTTTAGTGACAATCTTGTTAAATTACCATCAGGATAATGGGATTGGAAATTTGCTCTTAAATTCCTCCATGAAAATGTTTCTTTTAATAAAGCTGATTCTCTTGCATTCTGGCCAGTCAAAGCAGGTCTTTTTACAGGTAGAGCTCATTTTGCATTCCCTGAGTTTTCAAGATGGGTTCATTTAGGCACAAATACATTACCTATGTTAAAGGTTTGTCCATAAGTGAGAGGTTTTGGACATGATGTTCATTCTGTTTAAGGAGACAATAATACATTAAGTAATCATTTCCTATTTATTTAGACCATTGGATATATGAATTCTAAGACCAATCTTTTGTATTTGCCAGCAGATTCACTAAGTAATTACTATTTTTATTTTCAGATTCCTATCCATGTATGATGGTGTTCATCTTCTACTTAAAGATAGAACTGAAGTAGGAAAAGAATTCGTTCCATCTATCATTTATTCTAAGAAAGATCCCAATCATGTCTATTCTGATTATTCTCCTGCTCATTATTACCATAATTGGAGATTTAATAATGTTTACAAAAATTTAGATATTCAAAATAAATGATATAATACCATATAACATTAAATAGAATCTATATTTATTATTCATTCATTTTTTATTTTATTAACTTCAACTTTTAAAAAGTAATAAAAATAACTAAAAATCTAAAACCTTTATTTTATTATTTTTAATAAAAAAAACTTGTATAATTTTACCTTATTCTATCCTACTTAATATCATTCTCAGAAAGTACATTTAATGGACTATTAGGGTTGAACTATGTTTACTACATCCTTTTTGTTAGCTTTTTTGATAACTTTGTTTGCATCTGAAAATCAAAATATATACTAATACTTTATGTTTTTTCTTTATTTAATAAAATGAATTGCTCATATATCTTATTAATCAAAACAATCTTACATTCAAGCTTGTTTGATACTGACAAAAGATTAACTCATTTCCTGATTGAATTTCTAAGAATCTGAAGAACACAATTAGAGTCTTAGATATATATTTACTATCTTATTTAATCTAAAATAATTTTTTTGGTTCAGCTAGAACTATTAAATTTAATAGAAAAGAAACTCCAAAAATTTCATAAAATAAAACTAGTTTTTTTTATTGATACTTTTTTTTGAGTACAAATTTTTAAGTTCTAGAATTTAAATATTTTTCAATATATTTAAAAAGATTTCTCTGTTTTCAAAAAATCTAATGATTTATTATTAATAATCATAATAGCTTTTTTAGATAAATGATTCTAAAAAAAAATAATAATTAATATTTAATAAAATATATTATTATAAAGTCAAGCAAAATAACAAAAATTGAAAATTATATTAATTAATGGATTCAAGTAATTCTCAGGATGATTCATATTAAAAAGTAAATAAAATTGTCTATTAAGGATTCACTAATCGATTTGATTTTAAAACAAAAAAAACCTGCATGTTAAGAAAATGAAAAAATATTGATAGATTTTTCTAATTCAATCATGAGCTTGGGTATGTATAAGAAACCAAAATAAATTTACATTGAAAATACACATCACACAAAAGAAATTTACATATCTATGATCAAAGGTAAAATAACTAAATTATTTAAGAGATTAAAGATCAATAAGTCTTTTAAGTTAAATAGATCTCTTGAAATAGGAATAAAATTAAAAAAAAATATCATAAAATAGTTTGCTTTAAAGTGAAGATTAATAAATTGAAGCAAAAGTGCAAAGAATAATCAACACAGTGAGAAGAAAAAGTTGCCTTTGTTCTAATTGTGGATAATTAAGTGAGTTTGAGAAACGGTCAAATACATATTAAGTAAGAACTTAGCATCAAATCAATTCAGAATTAAGATTAATGAAATATAATACAAGAAAATAAATTAGGTAGTAATCTTTAATTAAAATGCATAAAATAGAATAATTATAAAGCAAAAAAATTCATATCTCAAGTTTGTCAACTCAGATTGAGAATTAAATGCAATTTAATCAAAAACCTGTTTTGGTTGTACCTACTATGGTTGATTTTAAGATAGATTTTAAAAAGAGGATGACTCCTAAACCAGTTATTTTAAAGTAATATCTTCCTGCATAGAAAAATTATTTTGTAAATCAGTATCTTATAACCACAAGAATTAAAACAAATTATACTCCTATTTAAAAAATTCTTCCTTAACTTCAAGCATTTACTTAAAGTAGAAAACATCTTTTTCAGAATAAAGTCGATTGATAATTTAATCTGAAAAAATTTGTAATTTATAAAGATTTAATAATAATATTTTATAATAAATAATTTCTTAGACTTGATAAATATTATATTTTGAAGAATATTTAGATAATTGATATTTTTTATAATTTTACATTATTAAATTATAAATGAGTTAAAGCACACGAACTAGGTATTTATATATTTAATGTAAATATAGAGCTAATAGTCAATAAAGTTAGATATCTAAAAAAAGCATTCGAAAATATAGTTCTGATTACTATGACTCTGATGCATCTGACTCAGAACCTATGATTAAGAAGAGAGTGGTAAAAATATGGACACCAGAAGAAGATGAGATGCTTTAAAACTTTTATGAAAAATTCAATGGAAATTGGACACTTGTAGCATAAGCAATACCAGGAAGAAATTAATCACAATGTTCATAAAGATGGAAAAGAATAAATCCGAATAGAGTATCTAAAGAAATATTAAAAGATTAAAATGAGAAAATAATGGACAGAGGAAGAAGATAGATAAGTTTTACGTTTGATTTAAAAGTTCGGAAAAAATTGGAAGAGAATAGAAAATGAAATGAATGGGAGGACTGGGAAATAAATAAGAGAAAGATTTATAAATAAATTAGACAAAACAATCAATCATGATCCATTTGATGAGAAGGAAGATGAAGAAATTTATTAATTGTATATAAGTTTGGGTCCAAGATGGAGTGAAATATCGAAGAATCTAAAAGGAAGACCAGTATTGATTTTTACAAATATTAAAGGAAAATTCGGTGAAGAATCGGTTTTACTCTCATATAAAGAAGCACTATAATATTTAGACTAAAGAATCTGATTCTGATGGTAAGGAGATTACTCCTCAATAGAAAAATGTTAAATCTTAATTAGAAGGAAAAGATTTTTAAAGAGAATAAAATGAAGATAGAAAATTAGATACAATATAGAGCTAATTCGATTAAGAAAGTTCAATAAACAATATCTAATAACCTAACCATTATATTTAAACCCGATATGTTGGTTTTGGTAAAGGAGGTATATGATTAATGATAAATTATATAGATTCTCTAAATTCTAATGGAGATTTCTAATAATTTGCACATTAGATGAGTTTAGAATAAAAACATCTATATGGAATTGAGATTTCATAATCAGGATCTAATATATTTTAGGATGTTTAGCTTCCTTTTTAGGATTTATTAGAGGAGCAAGGAGAATAAGTAATACTGAGAAAAGCATCATCAACAACTCCCTATTTGAAAACAGATAACTACATGATTAATCAGGATTTATAATTACAAAATTAGTTTAGTAAAATGAGTATGGAATAAGAATGATAAATAAATATATATATATATTAATTCAATTATCATCATCTACATCAAGATCGTCATCATCTTATTAAATTTCAGGTAATTTACCACATTATTCTATAAGAGGAGTATAGAAAATCAGTTCAAAATTGTTTTTGAATTCAGGGAGTGGTTTTTTCTTGGTAGGAGGAGGATACATAGGATCTATTGCAATTCTTATAGTATTTTCAACCAAATGATTAATTAATCTAGAAAGTAGAGGACAACAGGTTTCAAGACATGGATTCGTATTTACTTCTATAAGCCATGGTCTAAAATCACTATCAATCATAAAATCTAATCCAAATAGTTCAAAAGTATAGAAATGCCGATTTGGATCTAGATGCTAATAAGATGCTTTAACAATATCTGTGCTTAAATTCTTTAATTGTTCTATTGTGTTATTAAAATTCAGATTATAAATTTCTTATACATATTTCTAAAAATCATTAAAGGAAACCTTATTTATTTATTTATTTAATTACTTTATTTCCTGTTTCATATTTCCCATAATTTTTACTATATTTTTAAACAGCATCATTAGTTAAATGAGTGTATTTACAATCTGTATCATCCAGATTAAACTCCTTGCAACTTGTTCTTATATATCCTTCCTAATACCAATATGCTTTAAATTAATGATTTATGCATGTTATCAACATAAAGCATCTTATATCGAATTTTCTTTTATTGTATAATAATGGTTTATTTATATATTATTAAACAATAAATGTCTTTTTTACACCATTCGAGTGCAACTCTCTATAAGAGACTAATCTTTTAACTTAAGAAATTGAATTAGCTACTTCTATGCCATTCCCTCTATTTGATTATTCTCCTGGTTTTACTATCCATACATTTATATTATTTTTTTTTGCATATTCTTCAAATTACTAATATACAGGATCTTTGATTCCATCTTAAATATGAAATGTTAAAGGTATGAACTTAAAAGGATCTAATCCAATTGACTGATAATATGATTTCATATTATAATATAGAGCTTTTTTATTTGAAATTTAAAAATTTCCTTCTAAATGATTGTGTACTCTTAAAATATTACTAGAAACGAAATTAGTATACTTTTCATCTTCTAATTTAATTTTAAATTTATCTAACACTTATTTTTTCTATGCTTTTGTAAATATTGATTGATTTCCTGTAAAAGTTATTAGATCTTTATAAAACCCTTGTTTTCTGAGTTAAGTCCAATAAAGATTCATATCAGTCTAAGGTGAATCAAGTAAAACCCACCAAGATCTACATTTTATTAATTGTCTTACAAGTTAACCATTATTTCCTTTTGTGATAAATGCCTTATAAACTATTTTCTCTTAAGGAATTATCATTAATAAATTAGAGTAACTTACAATTGTAGCAAAATCAGAAGGATTTTCAACCATATTTTACTCTTCTTATTTATTAGGAAGAGCCTTTTTAATTGCAAATTTATTTCTTTTTGTATCAATTTTCTTCCTTTCAAGAGATTGAGGCTCGGCAGTTTCGGTAAAGCTTTTTCTACCATAAACTCGTGTTTCGCTATATTTTCTTATTGATATTTCTTTCTTTGAAGATGTAATTAATTCAGCTTTAGGAGGATAAACCAAAATTGAAGGTAAATTTTTCTAAGTGTTAGTTTAAGTATTCTAATTATGTTTCAAAAAGGATTCTTATTGTTTAATTAGATCTACTATTTATTGAAATCCTTTTAATTTGATAATATTCAACTTAGGTTAGAAGAGTCTTGGTTAATTAAAATTAACTTCCTAAAATCTTGTACTTCCCTTAATGACTAATTTTTCTAATTCAATATTGTTATACATTTTATTAATAATCATTATAAATATCAAATAAAAAATCAGCAATCACTTTTTTACTATTTAAATCAATAAATAAGTGCATTTAAACCTTATTTATTAGCTTTATTATATAATCATCTAATTATTTCTTATTCTTCAAAAAATATAAATTAATAATAAAAATAAATATTTCAAATTTAAATCAATGGGAGAAAATAATTTCTACTCTCTAGGTAGTTCATAAATGAGCAGTATAATCAAGAAAGAATATTCAGATGATTAATCAGAAAGAAGCAGAATTTCAACTTATTAGAAGTGTCTTTTTTAAAAAAATATTTTTAGAAATAACAATTTAAGTCTTTCAGATTTGGATCTTAAGCACAAGGATAAAATTTATTACTTTTAGCCATTTTCTCCAAAAATAAGTATTGACCCATAACAACTCTATGAATTTTTTTATGCATCAAGTACAAATAATGGATAAAAATTTGGAATATTGATAAAAAGTTAATACAATGATCTAGTGTAGATAAGTTAATCCTACCCAGATAAAACTGTTAACCAATTAGAATTTTTGGCTACAATTCATGGAGTCAGATATTGTATTGATTTAGGAATTTAAAAATTAATTGTAAAGGGAAATAGTTAAGTATTTTCTTACTTAATCCTAGTTAGTAACCAAAATGAGAGAATTTAATTTGAATAATTAATTGGCAGCTTATAAGGAAGCTATATAATAATATAGCTAATTTTTTGAGCTAATCAATTTTTTATAAATCCCAAAAGAATTTAATAATAAAGCAAAAGAGTTATCAAGAGAAAACAAAGATTTTGTAAAAATTGTAGCAGATTAAAGCAAAATTTTAGATTAATCCTACTCTTCATATAAAATCAATTAAGATTAATTTTAATTTTAACCATAAAAAAAATAGCAAGATAAATTATTATCTTCTTTAGTAAATTCATTTTAATAATAATCTTCAAAGATTTATTCTTTATAAAATATTATTGCTGATTAATGTGCTGTTTAATCAAAGATGCCTCAAATAGATAATATTATTTCATAATATAAAGAAATTTTCAGTGAATATGATAACTTATCTATCAAAGCAATAAATTTAGAGTAAGATAAAAATTATGCTTTACTTTTTGGAAAAGTTGATAGTTCTAATAAAGTTGCAAATTTCTAGATAAATTAAGATTTGAATGAGATAATTGTTGCAACCTTCTGCTTTTCCAATCCGAATATTGCAATTCAAGAAATTTCTTTATTATATGGAATGAGATTCTTAATTGAGAATAAAATAAACTATTTAAATTGCTTTACAAATGATGAAGTATTCATTTATTAAAATTATAGGCGTTTTGTAATTTATTAGATAATGAAAGTGATAAATTAAAGAATTCCAATATTAGAGAATAAAGATGTTTATTTGAGATGAAATAATTATTTAGTCGAACTAAGTGTAAAATGATAAAATCATAAGATTTATTTAAAGTTCTTCAATTAGCATATTAAAATAAATAATCGAGATTTTAAATCATTGATGAATCTATATTGGCATAAAATAGAAAGGTTTAATAATATCAATCCAAAACTCTTTCGACTTTCTCATAAATATTTGACCAAGTAGAATGATCGAGAAAATTATTAGTTAAATAGATGGTGAAAAAATAAACAAAAAGTATTAAACATAAATTTTAAAAAAATATATAAAGAAAATTCAATAACTTACCTACTTTTGCTAATTTTTTTAATTAGTTAATTAGTATTTAAAATATTTGCCAATCAATTTTCTAAATAATTTTATTTAGTTTTATTTTAATCATTTTTGAACTTAAAGATTAAATTTTTATGAAAAGGTATTTATATTAAGAATTGTATTTTAAATCTTTGAAATGACCCATTCTGAGTCTTACTGGTAATGTAGATAAAAAATTAATATATTTTGGTATTTAACATGAAATAGAATTAGCATTTGTTACAAATTTTGGAATTTAAAAATAATATTTTTTTATTCACATAAATTTATTTTTTATAAATATAGAAATTCAAAAGATTATCCTGTCCATATTCTCTGTAATTCTGTTGTTGCCTTAAGGTAAAATCATAAAATATAGATTTTTTTCAATGTAAAAATTTTTACATAACATTTTATTACCAAAAATTTTACTTTTCAATTATTTTTTTCAACTTAGAATGGATATTCTAAATAAAATATATTTTATCAGATAAAATAAATTAAATTAATAGCAATCAATTATTTTTTATAACTAATCTCTATATTTCCATAAAGATATATCATTATTGTTAGTTTGTAAAATGTTTAAAGACAAGATTTAAATTATAATCGTAGTGTTTAAGTTTAAAGAAGACGAATGCGTAGTATTATTTATATTTTATTTATTCATTAAATTTTTAATGACTGATTTAATAAAACAATTAGATGGCATGTTCACAAGAGAACACCTAGAGAAAAACAAATACCTTTTAAAAAACTTGGATCCAAATTTGAATCTACCTATAGTGGCACTTTAAAAAGAATATTCATTAGCAAAGCATTCCATTGAAGAAATGTTGGGAGTAATTTTTTATATATATAAACGATAGGCTTTGAAGCAATGTAAAAATTGCAAATTACATGAAGGATATGTGACTCTCTTGATACCTCCACATACAAAGAATATTATAATAAATGAAATCAGTTAAACAAATGCAGATTTCAAAGCTTACTTGATTGATAAATATCTGAAGAATATTGAGTGTGAAATATCATTTGAAGGTGGATGTTGTAGAGTGACATTCAAGGATGATGAAGTTGGTTTGAAATTTTTAGATTAAGCAGTGAATGATCCAAAAGATCCATTAAAGGCATATGTAGAACCAGAAAATGTTTATTAATCACTTACAAAGACATTAGGATTTAACAATTAAACACAATATTTATATCCATACAGTAAAAGTATTTTACTAATGTAGATAACTAAATGTTCTAAAATTTATATATAAGAAAAGCTTCAGATGATGTTGCAGGATAGTCATAACCTGAAAAGATTACAAAACCATATTATCCTCCTGTTCAATAGTAATAGCAAAATACAAGAAAATAATCAGGATAAGAGCGAAAGGGAAGTGAATAAGTTGAACATTAAGAAAAAAAGACAAAAACTCCAACATCAGGACCTAAAGATATTTATGTTGAAAAATAATAGCTAGAAAAGTAAGAATAAAATGTAAAGAATGTTGAGAAACCTCCGAAAGTGTAATAGAGTCCAGTATTTTATTAATTTTTATTATTATTAGTATGTTGAAAAAAAATCAACATCAAGAAAGACTTCTGAACAAATTCAACCTGCTAAACATAAGTATGTATTTAGTATATTCAATAGAGGAAGCAAAGATATTTAAGGATCACCAATAAGAAAAGCTACAATATAATATAAAAAAGAGAATTTAATTGAAATATTTAAATAAATTTAAGGAACCTTACAAGCTAATCCAAAACTTTAAAAATTAAATGAATAAGATAGAGCATTATTATTAAGACAAAATGGTGAATTAACATTAGAAGTTATTCATCCAACACCATGTATAAGAAAAGAATCAGTAAATTTTTATCAATAAATTAATAGTATGCATCACCATAATAACATATAAAATAATCCCCTGCATAGATTCCATAAAGAAAACCACAATAATGATTATTAATAATAAATATAAAAACGGATTAAATGTCACAAAAATCTCTAATAGTGTTGCTATTAGTAACAATAGCAATTGCTACGTCGAGTCCTGCTCTTTAGCAATTGAGAAATAAATTAGAATCAAATGAGTATAATTCATAATTAGTTGATATGTTGGAATTAAGTGTTTAAGGTGGATAATTAGATCGAGTTTTTGAGTTATTATAAAAAATGATTGATGATATAACAGGATAAATTAATTCTGCAAATTTAGAACATGCATCAAGAATGGCTGCATTTTAATAAAGCATTGAATAATTAGAAAACAATTTAACATCATTATAAAATGAAGTTTAAACAACAAATAGAAAAATAGGAGAAATTACATAATCAATTTCAACTCTTTCATCTACTAGTGTTTCTGTTAAAAAATAATTAGAAACTATAAATTAAAGAGAAGAATAAATTCGTGATAATAGAGCTAAAGAAATTTAATCTGTAGAAACAAAATAGACAGCAGCATAAAAGATTTTGGGAACCTTAGAAGAAATTCATGATAGATTAGTAAAGGGAGTTCTTTCAAATTAAGGTTCATTTCTTGAGGAAACAGAGAAATAAGAAATAATAAAAAAAGTGAAGTAAGAATTAGGAAATAAACATCCTCTAGTATTATTATTAGATTTATCTGCTAAGTAAATGTATGAGAATAATAAAGATTTGATGAAGTAACAGCAAGAAAAGCAATTGAATTAATTGAATAAATAATTGCATCAATTAAAGATGGTTAACAATTCAGTGAATAAAATCAAATAGCAGCAGAATAAAATTTCAATTCATTAATTAATGAAGTTTAAATTTTAAGAGAGAAATTAGGATAAGATAATTAAAAGACAACAAGTAATTTAAAAAATAAATAAAATGATTTGGTATGCATAAATTCCTTATTGACTTATAGAAAATTGCATAGAGAAGAAATAAATAATTGGATTAGAATTAAAATAATACTAAATAATTATTAGAAACAACAAGAGTTCAAAAAGATTTATATGATTCAAATTTTAGATCCAATGCTAATAAAAGAGAGGGTCAATTGAATTCGTTAAAGACTGCCTTTTAAATTTTAAGAGACAACGAATAAGCATTGAAAAAATGATTAGATTTATTCACAACAAAAAACACGATAAATTTTAATCATTGATATATAGCCAAATTCTTTTTTAAATCAATCACTAGATGAGGAGGATTACTTTCTTTTTTTATTTTTTTATTTCTTCTTCCTATCTCTTGAAGATGAAGAAGATGATGAACTTGATGAACTGGAGGGACTTCTCTTTTTATACTTCTTACTCTTTCTTTTATGACGTCTAAATACTAATAAACATTTACCTTGAACTTGAGCTTGAAGATCTTCTTTTTTATCTACAATTACGAGCACTAATTTATATCATCAAATTATTTACAAATGGCCTATTCTACCACATTGATAGCATTCACCATCTTTTTTTTTGGCTCTAGCTATCTCAACGACAAAAGTATTTCCATCTAAATCTTTTTAATTCATTTCATTCACTGCTTCTGTTGCTTCTTCAGCTTTTGAATAAGCCTAAAATAATATGTGCAAAATTACAATGAAACAAAAACGACCCTTCCAAGAAAATTCACTAATTTCTCCGTATTTGGAAAAAAGAGCTTTGATATCATCCTCATTTTTATCCTTTGTTGAATATCCTGTAACAAATATCCGATTTTCTGTCTTACTCTGATCACTCATTGACATCCTTAAATTAATTAATTTATTTATTTATTAATTAAATTTTATTTTTATACAATGGGTTAATGTTAAGTACCTCAAATGCAATAAATTGAAGATGATTTTGCTGCTATTCAAAGAAATGCTGTTACTCTTAAAGCTGTACCAGAAAAACTCAACTAATTAGAGGCCTAAATTAATGGTATTAAGAGTACTGCTGAACAAGTATTAATTCGTTAATAAATATTTAGCTCACTACATCTGTCAATAATATTACATAAACCATAGAAAACATAAGAAAGAGTCTTCCATGATAAGATTTACAAAATTGAATTATAATTACAGTTATTATGTTATTCAATTAAATCCTTATGAGTCTTACTTTAAAAAGTATGGTCCTTCATGTTGTATTAACATTCCTAATTATTTTATTATTATCATTCTAAATACTTCTTGAATAACCAAACGAATTTGAATAATTCATACTATCAGTTCTTCTGAAAAACCCTTATCTATTATATATAATGGGTGATTTTGGTAATCGACTATTTTCATCAAATTAAGAAATTGAATTCATCATTAATCTTTAATCCACTTATTCTACCTTTTCTGATTGATTCAAACAATTAATGCATTGACAACTCTCACTGCATCTCTATTTATTTTGAAAACAATCACAATAACGTTTTGAACATTTTGATTTTTTGCATTTGCAATTTATTCCTACAGGCACTTCTTTCTTATAAATTTTATTTATTAATTACTTCAATTGATTAGTTTTACATTTTCAATTTATTTATAGCTTCTTCTCTTTCTTCAATATAATCATCAGTATTATGACACCCCTGACATTGACATTACGTTGTACACAGATTTCCATTTGCAAAACAATCACAATATTGTTTTAAACACATTGATTTATTGCATTTACACTTTAATGATTTAGGAATGTTTTACGATTATTATTAGTCACTCACCAATTATATATATGTATTGACATCCATTAAATCAAAGACTTTGCCATCAGTGCTTTATTTTATACAATTTAATAAATTCAAAACAATAGGTCTACTCCTAGTTTTATGTGCCTTGAAACCTATTATATATTTCAACATTTACCATTTTTATCATTTGGATATGTTTTTGTAATTTATAGTTTTTTAATTCCATGATTATAACGAAAATTCAGGCTTGTTATCTTGTTACCAGATTCCTCATTATCAATATTTACTTTTGATATGACTGATTCACCAACTAACTCCTCTTACTTAGTTCTAGTTTCTAAATAATAAATTAATAATTTTAAATATAGATAAAATAGTCTCGTATATCAATTAAACTATCTTATATTTCATACCTGTAGTAATTTGTTAAGGTAAACTCTGTTTCTTTTAAGCTCTGGTATTCATTAAAAATATTTTAATTATTAATATTACAATGCATTCTTTTTAATAAAATTCTGATTCTGATCAGCAAAGCTTATAAAACTGATTAATTTATATCAATTTAGACTTTATTATATTAGATTCGAATTCTTTATTTTAATTTTTTTTTATTCATTATAATTATTTAAAATGACTTAAGAAAGAGGCAGCGATAAGAAATAACATAACATTTGTTATGTTAGAGGAGGGAATGAAATAGATGATAATTTTAATGATTGGAATATGGCTGAGAGTGGCTTTGGAAGATAATCATTTTAGAGGAATTCATAAGTGCCAAAGATATAATACTTGATGGACAGGGAAAGCTAATAAAAACAATAAGATGAAGAGTTTATAGAAAAAAAGTATTAATTAAATTCATATTGATTTAAAGATCAATGATGAGTATGGAAGACCCAATGTAATAAAAGCAATCTATATAATCATTCCAATCTAGAGGATCTAATTTTAATATATTTAATCGTTTTTCTGGTTATAATATCAATGATTAATAAGCTAAAAATAGTCTAACATTTAGTTAAACATTTGAATAATAATAAAAATTTAGTTTGGAGAAAAGCGAAAAAAGTGAAAAAAGTGAAAAGAGTGAAAAGCCTAGCCTTGAATTTAGAAACTCATCATTGAGACCATCTAATTTATCAAATAGAAAATCAAAAGAAAATGAATTAGAAATTGTATTTGAATGGCAAGATGAATCTAATAATTAAAATGCAATAGAAGAGTTAATAAATAAATTAACATTAGAGAAATAATGTGAAATAATTCCTGATCGATTATCATTAATACCCTAATCTAAGTAAGGATGTATATGTAAAAAGACATAATGTCTAAAATTATATTGTTAATGTTTTTAATAAGGAAAATTTTGTGGAGAAACATGTGATTGTATAGATTGCTGTAATAATGAATAAAATAAAGAATTAATAGAATAGACTAGAAGTTAAATAAATAGAAATTAAAATGATGAAGTAAAATGTTTTTGCAAAAAAAGTAAATGTTTGAAGAAATACTGTGAATGTTATCATGCAGGTAAAAAATGTGGAGTGGATTGTAAATGTGAAGGTTGCATGAATTATGAAATAAATTTACATGAGGCTCAAAGATTAAGTGAATATTAAATTTAATAATAAAAGAGAGTGTAATTATCATGAGTAGAATTTTGAATTTTTGACTTTATACATAATAATGCTTGATAATTTAACTAGCTCTTCTACATATTAGGTTTGTAATTAATTTATTTAACCTTCACTACAATCTATTAAAATATCTGACATCTGTTAAATTTATTACATCGGCAATACTTCTGGCAATTATTTATGTATCATAGTAAATCTTTGTTATTGCTACTGTTGTTTTTGTGCTTTATCCTAATTCTCCTTCGCAGCACTAAATAGAGTAGAACTTCTATGATGTTACAATGTTTTTTTTCTCTATACATCCTATAATTATTATTATTATGTCTAAAGAGTTGATTAAATAAATTTTGTTTTCAATACAGTGTTTCTTTATTGGGAATGAGGACGATGCTCTATTTAAGTCTTCAAACTAGTCTTAAATTTCTAAAACTAATCAAAAATGTCCATCTTATTTGAATTTTAAATAATAATAAAAAAGTTAAAAATTATCGAGATTTTCAATATTAATAATAATAAATCGGAATCTCTATTATTGCTTTATGAAAACATTATATAACTTAAATAGATAACTAAATAAATATTTTATTTATGCTTATGTATTTGTTTTGTAATATCAATCAAATTTTGGTGTACGTCCAATACTTCTTTGATAATATTTAAGCATTCTTTAATCTTAATCATCCATCCATGAATCCAAACCATTTTACTAATCCATACTGTTATTCATTGCTTCTTCATAACTGATGAAATCAGCAAACTAATCAAAAGTCTTTGAACTATTAAATTTATTTATTTATCATACCCAGATAAGAATGCAATCAAATCTTCTAAACTTCTATGTGGTCTTGAATATGCTTCTAATCTATTTTTGAATAATATTTTATCAGCCTCAGCATCTAATCTTTCTAATTCCTTTTCACTCTCAACCTTTTTAGGTGCTACATATTTTGGATCATAATAGTTTGATTTAACCCAAATGAAAGATCCAATCATACCAGCAAAGAAAAAAAAGTTGAATCCTCTTAACTAAATTTCATTAAATAAAGTTTTATTACACAAGCTTCGCTTCTAGCCATTCTAAATACAGTATCCTTCCATCTCAAAACTCCTTTTGTTTTGAACATACCAATATCATCCTGATTGAATAGAATGTTAGCCTTTCTAATTAAGATATTAACTTATTGTACCTCCAAACACGAAGATTCCAACTTTGTTTTGAAAAGTTTTTATACCACATTCCAAAATAAATAATATTTTTATTAATTAATGAATCACTTTAATTGTTTCTTAATATTTCATATCTTATTTAATATTCAACCCCTATTTATCAAAATATTTATACCATTAACATGATTATCTATAGAAATTTCATTTTAACTAAATTTTATTGATTAATATAAATTTAATAGATACATCTTTCCTTTTTTTAAAAATGGGAAATCAATCAAATTGTTGCTCAGATTTGGAAATTCATACATCAAATTATAATATTACCTAAAAATCATTAGACAGCTAATCTACAAATGATATTGACATATTAAGAAAAATGATTATTTAACCTATCAAACCATTGCCTCTTAATAGATTTGAGAGGCTAAAAGACATGCCTGATGATGATATTTAAGACATTTTAAATCAATTTATTGAACTAGAAAAGGACTGAAATCTTTATATAAATATTTTAAATAAGAATTTTAATATAATGACTATTTAATATGTTGGAGAGAAAATTACTTCTCAGTTAATTTATTTTAATAAAACAGATCAAAATTTTACTTTTTTAGATAGTAAAGTTAGGATTATTCTGCTTTTACAGAATTTTAAAAATTATATAATAATAATTTTTATTAACTCTTTCAATTTCTTATCAATGCATTTTTATTATAAAGAAAAATAAAAATTATGATATTTTTTCATAGTTCATCATCATCTTAATAATCTTGATGCTTTGATTAATTAAAATATTTTATTTTATTAAATGGGTCTTTGCCAATCCAAGGCAAAATAAGACAGATAAGAAATCATAAAAAAACCTTCCACAAAAAAGTAGGAAACCTTTGAAGTAGGTCCTGAAAATTTTGCAACACTGAAATAAGGATAAGTTACAAGTTATTATCGAGTTGAAAAATCCTTAGGAAGAGGTAAATAATTGATAAAAAAATAGGTGCTTATGGGGAAGTAAGATTAGTCATACATAAGTAAACAAATTAAAGAAGGGCTATGAAATAAATAAAGAAAGATAAAATTGTAAAAGAAGAAGAGGAAACCTTATTAAATGAAGTCACAATACTAAAATAATTAGATCATCCAAATATAGTTAAATTATATGAATTGTTCGAAGATAAAACTAGCTACTTTTTAATTACAGAGTATGATGATGTATAATAATTTTAGATATTTAGAAGGAGGTGAATTGTTATAAAGAATTTCAGAGTATAAGTCATTTACAGAAAAAATTGCAGCAGAATTTTTAAAATAAATCCTTTATGCAGTTATGTATTGTCATGAGAGAAAGATAGTTCATAGAGATTTAAAGCCTGAAAATATTTTATTAGAAACTATGAATTAAGGTGCTAATCTAAAAATTATAGATTTCGGAACTTCAAGAAGAATATAAGAGAACTAATATTTAACTAAGAAATTAGGAACTGTAAAAAATTATTATAAGAATTTAAGCCTTATTATATAGCTCCAGAAGTTCTTAAGAAAAAATATAATGAAAAATGTGATGTTTGGTCATGTGGAGTCATATTATATCAAATGCTAAGTGGATAATTGCCATTTGATGGATCCCCTGATGAAATATTATTAAAGATTGACATAGGAAATTATGATTTTCCAAGTAATTTAATTAAAATTTATATGATATAGATGAAAATTGGAGTGGAATTTCAGAATAGGCAATTAACTTAATAAAAAAAATGATGGAGAGAGATCCTAATAAAAGGATTACAGCAAAATAAGCATATGAAGATCCATGGATTTAAAATAATGTACATGTTGCAAAAATTGATGCTAGATAACTTAAAAATTTATAATCATTTTATGTATTAAAAAATAAATTTATTAAGGGTAAAAACAAGGTAAGAACAGCCTTAATGCAATTTATAGCAACTTAAGTTATGACAAATTCAGAAAAGGAGGAATTAATAACTCTATTTAAATCAATAGATAAAAATGGAGATGGATTATTAAGTAAAGAAGAATTATTAGCTGGTAAATAATAAAAAATAATTTAGTTTACAGTTAACAATATGATTCTTTGAAAGCTTAATAAATGGTGGATGAAGCATTTGAAAAAATTGATATCAAGAAAACAGGAACAGTGGATTTTACTGCTTTTGTTTCTGCAGCATGTTAATAAGAAAAAATGCTAAATAAAATAAAATTAGAGTAAACTTTCAAAATATTTGATATTGTAAAAATTAATATATAAATTTTATAGAATGGTGATGGATAAATAAGTAAAGATGAATTATAAGAAATAATGGGAGGAATAGATGATTAATTATGGTAAGAAATCTTATAAACATGCGATGGAAATGGAGATGGAGAAATTTAATTCGAAGAATTTATTACTTATCTTGTTTAAAAATATTGATTAATTTTATAATTAACATTAATTTTTAATCACTATTTATTAATAATTTCATAAACTAACAATTCTTTGTTTATTTCATTAGCTATCAAAACAACAGTATTTTATGTACTGGAAGGCATTTAAACTAATTGGAGTTTTGATCTAATCATATTCTCAGATAATGATAAAGCAACATCAATTTTTTGTTCATTTTATGCCCATCCCATATCATTATTCTGTAATCTCCAAAATCTTAGTGATTTACTTGATTGTAAATATGTAATTACAGATATCGTTTCTAATTAATATTATTTTTTAAATACCTTTATTTGCATCTTCAGCAATGATAAAATCACAAATTGAATTTGTATTTTTTTGTATATCTGATTCTAATATAACACACTAATTCATCAAATTTACAATTTTTAAAGATCCTTTAATTAATATGATTTAATACCCTCTAGATTTCCAACCAAAAGTAAATTTGGGTTTGATTAAAATTAATTAATTATTTAAATTTGTCCAAGCATATTACCACATTAAATAATTGATTCACAGTAGGTATTTTCAAAGTTTGATTAATTATATAACATTTTCCATACTGATAATGTTTAATCATAAGAACTACAAATAAATTTGTCATGTTTTTTTAATAAAAGAATAGATGATATTTATTTTTAGTGTTTACCTTTAATTCCATTTTATTATAATTTAGATTACTAAAAGTTATATACTTCCACAGTTCCACTTTGATCTCCAATAACAATACAGGAATTATCTTATAAATAACAGCTCTATGTAATTGAGTTGTTAAACAAGTATTTATGATAGATATGAGGCACTATCATTTATTAATTACTAAAATCAAAAGCCCAAACTACTAATTATTCATTTGATAATGTGAGCAAATACGTTTATGGTTTTTAGTTATTATTCTACTATAATGGAATAATCTAATCTGTTGATTTATGTATTTGTATAATGGGAGTTGTGTGAGTTGATAATGTATGAATTCTTTTTTATATAGTATCAAAAACTCTCAAATGAGGGTCATTACTACAAGTCATTGCAAATATCTATGGTGTCACAACTTCTATTGCTGATACACAAAAGTCTAATTAATATTTTTTTAAAGGTTTCAAAGTAAAATCACTACATTGTCCTACAATAGTCTTAGAATGCAAAGCAATACTATTCTAAGGAGAAAATGCTAATTTTTAGTTTAACCGAGGTGATTTTGATATATTTTAATTACTGTTATAATTGTTTTACATATTTTCAGTTGGTAATGAATATTATTTATGAAGATTTTTTGGTTAAAATTTAATAGGTGAAACTATTTTTCTAGGTAAAGTGATGTTTAGTTTTGTTTTAAAATGATTATGTATTTAATCAGCCAATTAATTTACAAAGCTATCTATACCATCTTAAAATGCAAACACTGGAAGATTATATGTCATTTCTGTTATTGATTCTGCACACTACTTTATATTCTCTATTGGATCGTATGGTTTATTTATTAATTTTCTTATTTAGTTTATTAATTCTTAAGCATCTTTTGAATTTGATTACTGCAATTTAAAAATAAGATTATGAACATTACTATAAGGATTGCATTACTTTTATAAAATATATGAGTCATCCATAATAAGTTTACAAATTTTAAATTATTCCTTATATTTTGTATAGAAGTCTTCTATATCTTATTCTAGTTATGCTTACGCTTAGTTGCATTTTTCTATAAAAAGATCTTTTAAATAATTGAAATCTTCTCCAATTAAGGCTTTCTATGCTTTACAATGTTCGTCAACCTTTTTGAGATGCATTTCATTATCTTCACACCATTTTAAAACAGAATCAATTTAATTAATATCTCTTATCTATTTTAATGTTTTTGAGCCTTCTTAAATAGTCTTCGAGACTTTTTAAAGCCATTCAGATATTTGAACTATATTTGAATAATGATCAGAATGAGCATCTGGACACATTTGACAAATTAAAGGTGAACGATTGCAATTAGGATTAATACATCCTGTTACTATTAATTCTCTTCTATGAATTGGACATTTGATTGAAATGTTTTATTCCATTAACGGAACTTTTTAATATATAATTTTTTATGCTTTAATCGCAAGAAGTATTCAAGAATTAGTATACAAATCCTCCTAATTTTAGTATTGTTTCAAAAAAAACTATATTTGAATATAACTTATCAACTACTTTCTACTTTACAATTAAATTGAATTTGTATTAATATTTAATGTTAATAAAATTTTCCATATTTCTTTTTTTTTATAGTCTAAAAAATTGACAGAAATGATTTAATGGTAAATTTAAGTTATTTAAGAATTAAATAAAACAAAAGACACAAGTTTGTTTAGATTAGAAATTCTCATTCACATATAAAAATAAATAATAAACATAATTTACTACACTTTTTAGTAACAACAATGAGGATTAGATTATTTGACTTGTTATTTTTAGCTATCAATGATTTTCTAAAATTTAATATAATCATAAAAAATAGATGTATATATATTTTAACAAATAAGATAAACTTATCGTTTAAACTTGAAATTTTTTCAAGGTTCTAAATATGAATATAATAATATGATGATAATATTGTATTAAATGATATTTTAGAAATTGAAAAACAAATTGTAATTTGAAATTTAATAAAGTAAAAATTAGAATAAAATTATCCTTTTTAATTTTATTTTAATGAGGATTTTAGATTAAGAGTGAGAATTTCGATTTAAATTGGAACATGAAGTTAGGAAAGGAAATAAAGGTAAAGAGCTTGTAGTTTTGGGTTTGAATACGGTTTTGATTATTTTATTTAATAAAATGCATTTTTTTGTTCATGAAGAAATTAACCTTCTTGAGGTATTTATGTATGATTAATATAATGAAAGGCAGCACAAGATGGTAAATTGGATTTTATTAATCAACAACTGGCTTCATTAAGTTCTAAACAGCTTTAAGATGCATGTAAGAAATCTGATTATTATGGAAGAAATGCATTACATTATGTAAATAGATGTTTTATAAAGGCTGCTTATAGAGGACATTATAAAGTAGTAGAGTATTTTCTTGATCTATGTTGTCTTGATTTAAATTCTAAAGATAATTAAGGTAAAATGCTAATTTGTAATATCTTGAATAGGGAATTCAGCTCTTGTATTGGTTTGTGTAAGAGGATACAATTAGGATATTGATGAAGCAACAATAAAACCAAGAGAGAAAGAATAGATAGCTGAGAGAAAATACTAAATTGCTAAATTACTTTTATAAAGAGGAGCAACTCTTAAGGAGTATTTGAAAGATCACATAAATAATCCTTTACATTGGGCCTGCTTTTACGGTGATTTTAAGTTAACTTAGCTTTTATTAAAGTACAATGCAAATTTAAGTAAGAATGATTCTAAAATAGTGCTGATGAAGAACGATAGAAAATAATTTCCTATTGATATAGCATTAATGAAAGGAAAAGATTAAGAGACTTAGAAAAAAGTAGTCAAATACCTAATAGTAAAATTCTTAGCTCATTTCTTGAAGAGTGAACAACATATTCAGCAATTAAAAAGTCTAGATGAAAATCTCGAAGAAAGTGAATTTGATTTGAATTAAGAAAGCGTAGAAAAGAAGATAACTGACAGATAAAAGTATGAAACAGTAGGTTTAAACTATTTGTTTTGGGCAAGTGTTTTAGGTGACTTAGATTTAGTTATTCCATTGTTAAAATAGTAGTTTTCTCCATTTTCTCCTTCTTATAAAGGAAGAAATGCAGTTCATGCAGCAGCATATCATGGTCATAATAAATTAATAGAACTCTTTTTTGAATCAGATTATTCAAACAAAAAATTTAATATTAAGAAATTAGTAAATATAATGACAATCGAAAAGCCACAAACAGCCTTGCATATAGCAGTTGAACAAGTATTGAACATTATATTGATTTGATTTTAGGGACATGAAAAAGTGGTTGGGTATTTAATTAAAATAGGTGCTGATCATCATTTATATAACTTTAGAAATTAAACAGCATTTGCCTCTTCTAGATCCATTGCCATCAAAGAACTAAGACAAACTTTATTAAAAACTGAAAAGAATCTAATCAGAAGCGGATATAAATATGTACTGGTTGGGACTAATGCAAGTGAAAATTTAGTCAAATAACAATTAGAAAACATTAAAAAGAAGGTGAAGGTAGGTAAATTTAAAGCAGTGCCAATAAAATCATATAATGATTCTTGCTTTTATTATATAATAAAAGTTTCAAATGAATTAAAGAACTTAGTAGCTGATTATGAGAAAATGATGATCTATAATTTTAAAGAAGGAATAATTTGTCAATTTGATAGGACAAAAGCTGATATGTATGAAAACTTTCATCATTATCATGATCAATAAATTATATTATCATTACTATGTGATGAATTTGATTTAGATTAATTTCTTCATGATAAATTATTATTAGATCACTTTCCTTTACATGAAGATGAGGAAAAGATGTTAATTTATAATTAATGGAAAAAAGAAAAATGGGAACTACTAAAGGAACCATTATCTTTCAAATAAAATAGATGCAGAACACCAAGTGCAATAAAAGCATATTTTGGAGCAGAAGTTGGATTTTTTTTTGTATTTTTAAGTTTCTTTACAACTTGGTTATTTATTCCAGCTGTGCCTGGTATTATGCTAGGGGTTTATGTTTATGCAACAAATGAAATAAATTCTTTATTTATTCCAATATATACAATTGCATTGGCAGTTTGGGCAACTATTTTTTTTGAATTTTGGAAGAGGAAGTAAAGTGAAACTATGTTTTAATTTGATATGCATGTTGAAACTGAATAGAAATAACCAATACCATCTTTTAAAGGATAATTTTGGATCGATGATGTGACTCATAAAATAGAAATTCAATATTCCAATAGAGATAAATGGAAATATTATAAATCTGTTACACCTTTGGTGCTTCTAGCTATAATATTAATAGCAGGAGAACAAATTGGTTATTATTATATTATAAAATTGAGAGAACGTTCTACTGAATTTACGATACTATGTTCTATAGGTTTAGGTATCTCAATAAAAATTACTAATGAAATCTTTAATTATTTTGCAAGATTATCACTTGAATATGAAAATCATTAATATCAAAATGAATTGGAGGATATCTACATTATTAAAGTATTCTCTTTTGCTTTTCTCAATTCATTTGGTCGTTTGTTTTACAAATCTGTAATTGATCCAGATGCTGATGAATTAAATATTATGTCTATTACTTTTACTATTGTTTGGGCTATAATGCATTATTTGAGATTCACAATTCTTCCATTAATTCAATATTCGATAAAGAAATATTTTTTAAATAAAGAATACGAATTATTTTTAGAAGGTAAATGGAGGAAGATGTATACATCTTAAATGGCCAGTATTTTAGATAATGAAACTCAAAATTAGACTAACAAAAGTTTTGATAGAAAAAGTATAGGTTATAAAAGATTTCTAAGATCTGTTGAATTAAATAGAATTATGATGGCAACACCTAATCATGTTGACTAATTCACTTATTTTGTAATAAATCCAAAATATTTTAGATTCTTCAATTTTGTATGGTTACTATGTTTAGTGCCAGTTCCTAATTAATACCAATAGCAATTTTATTATTTAATATAATCAATCTGGATGGTCTTTTGTATGGTTTCATTACATTTATTAAAAGACCTAGAGCTGAAGCTAAGAAATCTATTGGATTATGGAATAGTGTATTACTTATAGTTGGATACATAGGAACCATAATAAATTGCTTAACCATCTACTATGCTAATCAAGATTAACTAAATAATTTGATAGGAAAAGTTAATGAAATTGATTAGTCCTCAGTAATTCTCTTATTAATAAAATAGCAAGCTCTTAGAAACTTTTTACTACTTATAGCTGCAGAACATATTGTTATTGGACTCAAGTTTATTATTGAAACAGTCATTCCTGATGAACCTAGTTGGGTTACAAAAGTCTTAAAAAGATAAGAATATCTATTAGAATAAATGATGAAAAGTGTTGATATTGATGAATCCTCTTGTGAAAAATTAAAAGATGAATGATGATGTCTATAAAAATTTTAATTAAATATTTATTATATTTATTAAAATTATTTTAATGCAAAACCATCAATAACAACTGAAAAATTTCAATTCAACTAAAACTAATAAGCCACCCATTGATAACAGATTCTCAAGAAATATTTATGAATTATCAGCTGATAAATCCTCAATTAACAAATCTTTTAATGAAAAAAAAAAATCTGTTCCAAAAGCAAATGCTATTTTAGAACTATTCTACAAAAGATAAAATTCTTAAGAATAATTATTTAACAGAACTTCAAGTCCAAAATCTTAACATGACAATACAAGTATAAATAAATCTTAACGATCTATTTCTCCTCAAATGCTTTACGAAACTCCTTAAGTGATCAAGAAAATCTTTTAACAAATTCATCCTAAACTCGATTAATAAAAATTATAACAAAATAACAAAAATAAAGATACTTTAAAATAAAAGACAGAAGAATCAAAATCTCATAAAATTGAATCAACCAGTTCCACTATTAATGATTCTGATGAATAAATATCAAATTTAATCAATCAAGAAGAAATTGTATTCACAATTATGGCAGTAATTAGTAGAAAAAAAAAAGTCATTAATTAATGCCAAAATTATCTAAATCGAATTTCTCACTTCATTATAGAAGAAAAAGATAAAGTTACTTAACAAATTCTTTCCAAATAAATCCATCTAGAAAGAATAGGCATCCTAGTCATTTTATATAAAGCCTTATCTGATACATTTGAAGAAGATTAATAGAATTTAAAAAATCTTTTATTTTACATACACAACAGTATGATTTTACATCTTGAATTTATAAATTAATCAAACTCTATTTCCTAGTCTCAAAGAGCCTTAATATAAGCTAGATTAAATAAAGTTAAACCATAAAAAAACTGTTCAAATTTAGATATAAATTTAATCCGTAAAAATAGTAATGTCGTTTATTCGCTCTTAGTATTATTGTATATATTTTATATAAATTATTTTAGTATTGAGAATTCAAATGATAATAAACTTAATTCATTGGAGAAAAACTTAACAAACATTGATCGACTAACTTTGCATCAGGGTACTGAATTTATAAGACAAGAATATCAAAAAATAGTATAATTATAATAATAATGTAGTTGGTTCATATTCAATAGTTAAGATTAACCATGGATTCATAAGACTTTTAATTTGATTATGAAGAAGTTATAGATTGTTAATAGATACCTTACTTATCTAAGACAAATAAATATACTTTAATCTTAGATTTAGATGAAACATTAGTTCATTATTAAGAAGTAAAAATTTATTTTTTATATAGTTATTAGATGAGGGTCAATTCTTAGTTAGACCTTATGCACAACAATTTTTGAAAGAGATGTCTAAATTTTATGAGATTGTTATTTTTACAGCAGCACAATAAGATTATGCAGATTTCATTTTAGATCTTATTGATGAAGATAAAGTTATATCTCATAGATTATACAGATAACATACAACTCTTGTCAAAAATACATATGTAAAAGATATTGAGAAGATTGGAAGAGATATTAAGAAAACAATAATAATAGACAATTTGGCTGAAAATTTCTAATTTCAACCTGATAATGGAATACAAATATAAAGTTGGTATGGAGATTCAGATGATCAAGCTTTATTGTTGTTGTCTCCATTATTAATTTAAATTGTTTAAAAGAAAATTCTTGATGTAAGGGATGCTTTGAGGAAGTTTAGAGATCAAATGTAAAGAAACATAGAAGCTGGCATATCAGATCCTCATTTACATTTAAGTTTAGACTGAAAGATAGATTATTACAATTTTTGATTATTTAAAATTTATATGTCTTATTTTCCATAATACAATTAACTACAATAATAAATACATCTAATCAGCTAATTTAGAAAAAGAATCAATAACTAATTTTATTGAATTTTCTCTAAACATATAAGATCTAGTTGATATTAAAATAATTTGAAATTATATACTTTATCCATTATGATCTTAAAAAAAATTAAAAATTTCAGATGGTTGTCTTTAAATCTCTCTTACCTTTCGAAATGAATGGTACAATAATAGCCAAATAAAAATGTACTTTCAGCATCTTAAACAGGTTATGGAAATTTTGGACCTGCATTATAAAAATTATTTTTATGTACAAAAGTAATTATTTTTCAAGAGGATATTTTTATAACTAATTTACTTTAATTATGCCATTGTTGTTATTTTGGAACATTGTATCCAACTCTTACTCTGGTAATTTTTTGTTCTTCTAATCTTTTTTCAACTTTTTGATTTATTTTATTCCATAATCCATTCTTAAATACATAACCAATATCATAGATTATATCATTTATCAAACCTGTTTCATTTGTTGTTCTTTTTTATCCATAAAATGTAAAAACATTACCAAAAATTAATTTTAATAATACTTATTATAAAAATCTCCTAAATAATTGAATCCATCACTTAGTAAATTAGGCAGATACTCAACAGTTGCTTTATATTCATTTCAAAAAGGATCTTTATCATTAATATTATTGTTTTTTAATTATGTTTTAACTCTAGGAAATGTTCCAAGAATTCTAATTCTTGTCTATTTATATATTTTAGATTTTGAAAAATAAAGTAAAGTCAATTCTAAAATCTGTACAACTAAAATTACTTTCGTCACTAGTAAATTTATGGTATTTGATTTTACTTTAGTTTATTTTCAAAGAATTCAAGCTATTATTCTAATTCAAATATTCATTTAATGTTTGATATGTTTTAATGTCTTATTGAAATTTTTATTTGTAAATAAAAATTGCAAGTTAAATTCTGCTTCTTAACCCAACTTTTTAGGAACGAAGAATTTAATTGAAGAAGAAATATTATTTTGAAAAACTTGACTTTCTTTCAGCCCTGTTTCTATTATTTGTTTGGTAATTTGTCAATATATAATTATATATATAAAATTTAATGTTAAGAAAATACTTCTATAAATGGGTAGAATATCATATCTAAAAAATCAATCAAAGGCAGTTTTTGATTAATGCCACAATATTTAGATACAAATAACTCTTTCGGAAAGTAACAAAACTAAAATATTTGCTAGACAATCAAAGCAATCAAATATCAGAAGTCGAATGAGTATCAAACCTTATTGAAACGAAAAGTTTTCAAAGCTCTCAAAACCATAATCTAAAATGTATATTAATAAATCTTACTTTATCCTAGCGTTTAGAAGTTCTTAATAAAATCAAAATGCTCAAGTTGAGGAAATATTTTGAAAAATTGAAAAGTGTAGTTTAAGAGTAAAGAAAGGAAAGAGAGGTTAATAATGCCATTATTGAATGTTACAATGATAAATTATTGATGAAATGGTTTTTAAAATTAAGAAAGGCTTCTAAAATTTTAAAAAAGAGAAAAAATAATGAAAAGACACTGATAAAAAAGAAAAAGTAATTATTTTTTGATAAATGGGTGCTGAAACTTTAAGATTTTAGATTGCATTAATAACTTTTTTAAGATTCTACCTTATACTATAATGAAGTTTTAATAAAGAAAGTATTTAAAGGTTGGAAAAGGCATATATTGGACTCAAAGATTTATTAAACTTAATTAGAATAGGTTTGTAAAATATTTAAGAGTTGGAAAAAATATACTTAATAAGAAAATTAGAAAAGAAACTCTAAATTATAACCAATACATATAAAATGGAGAAAGCAGAGATTTTTTAGATATTGGAGGGATGTTACAATAGACTCTTAGAGGGATAAATTAGCTAAAGGATTTTATATGTATAAGATTTTTTAGAGTTGGAAATAATATATAGAAGAGATTAAATAATTATAATTAAAATTATAGGATAAAGAATTAATATTAACTATTTAGATTGAGAAAAAAAGAAAAAAACGTTATTTATTATTTTGGAGGCGTGCTTATGAAGGCAAATTGGAGAAGAAAGGATTAAATAAAGTTTTGTTATAAACAAAGCTTAAATAAAGAAAATTGGAGTTTTTAATTTAAGGATTTAGATCATTTAAAAATAATTGGAAATTGAGTAAATATCTGTAGTATAAGAGATTAAAGTTCAGTTAAATGATCTTTTATTCAATAAAATACTTTACAGACCTATCAAAAATGAAAATGGATTAATTGATGAATTACGAAAATAGAAAAAGGGAGTAGAAATTAAGGAAAATATATAATGCAATAAAAAGTGATTATGATTTAATAAAATAAAAAGATGAGAAGGCTAAAAATTATTATAACAGTACATAAAAAATAATATTTAGAAAGATTATAAAAAGATTATTTTCAATTATTTATTTAAGGAGTGATAAAGCAATATTAAAAAGAGTTGAAATTAAGTGCATAATTTTACATTTAAAGAAAAATAATTTATACATTTGCAGCTTTGAAATCTCATTGGGAAACTGAGAAGAGAAGAAAATTAAATAAGAAAAAAGTGGATAAATATTTAGGATAAAAGTAATATAAATTGTTAAAGTTAACATTTAAAAAGATGAGATCATATCTAATAAGTTAGAAAAAAGGAAAGAAGAAGTAAAAATATATTGAATTTATAATAGACTATTTGAATTAGAATACAATGCGTTTTATTAATGGAGATTGTAAACAAAATTAAAGATAGTGAAAAAGAGATGTTGATATTAATTAATAGAATTAAAAGATGCGATTATACTAAATAAATGATTATTAATCAATCTTTTCTAAGAGGTTTAACAATTCTTTCTGTTCCAGTAGGTGTAATAATGAAGATTTCTACATTGTCTCCAGTGTGGATATCTCTTTCAGCAGCACAACTGAAACAATCTAATATAATATCTAAAATTTCTTATTAAGTTTAAGGGATAGTTTTATTAATTTTATTGTAGGCTTTAAGTTAATTGTCTAAGACAGCAACAACTAATTCTTAACCACTTCCTTAGACACCATAATTCATTTAATCATAACTTCCTATAGCATCATATCCATAAACAACTCCATGATTATTTTCATCGAGACCAGCCAATAAATTAAAAGTATAATAAGGGAAAAACCTTCTTGTGTAGAGTTCTCTGGATAATAGATGAGCTACAGTTTATGTAGAAGCCTTGTTTATAAATATATGAATTACTTAAACTTCATTTTAAAATTCATATAACTACAATCTTTGTTACAAAAATTTTCGTAAGGCTATAAAATCAGCATATTAACCTGCAGTAGCTAAAACACATTTTTCTGTTAATTAACATAACTTTGTTGCATCTCTAGACATTATATTATAACCATTGCTTAATCTAGTATCTCCTGCTACAATAACAGCTCCAGGTATTCCTACAGCTTAGAATTGTAATTTCATTTCTTACCTAATACAGTACCTGAATTATCATGATAGGGACTCCATTAATCTTGTTTATGAGTTATATTAGTCATCATCGGTGTTTCTGTCTTGAAGTGTTTGTGTATTTCATTAACTGGGATGTACATTTTAAACAATAATTAATTATTCAAATTATACTAATCTAGTATTGTAATTTATATTATAATAAATTATTAATGAAGGTTAATAAAAATTTATAAGACGCAATCATAAATCTCAATTCTTTGAGTATTCCCAGGACTGAAATTGTTATTGGAAGAATCTTTAGCAAACCAGGATAATTATATAAAGAATTATTTACAGATGATGAAATTAAGAAATTTCAAAACAATCTAAATATTTCTGAATAATAATTAGCAAATATTGTAAATGCATTCACATTTGTACTTATGCATGTTGTTGCAGAAAGAAATTTAAGTTAAGTTGAAGAAGTATTAGCATAAAATGGAATGGTATTATTCTATTCTATATAAATTTAGTCAAAAGATCATATTGAAGTGTTTAGACAATAATGGATATAATATGGAAATGAGTATTCAATCAGAATAAGAGAAAAACCAATTGCAGTTTAAGATGTATTGCATTCTTTTAATTGGAAAATCAGTTTATAAGTAGATGAATCAAGATTACCATAAAAGAGTATCAATAATATTATATGAATTAAAGATGTAGCTAATTTTATGAATGTTGATGGCAAAATTGAAGATGCAAATGATTTATACTCATATGATGCTAGAAATCCAGCAACCACATTTGTATTTGAAACTAAACCTTCTGGAGAGACTAATAAAGTTGATAAATTTAGTATTAAATTTTAAAAGGCTTAAATTCAAGATTTATTTGAACAATTAGAAAGTGTTTAAGAAAGTTTAGATAAATTAATTTGATAATAATATTATCATTTACAAATGATTTATTATCTAAATGATTCTTAAAAAATAACATTACCATATATTTAGAAATTAACACTCCATAATAGATTTTATTGATATATTTAAAATCTACTTCATATTTTCCATGCCATTTTCATTAATAAAACAAAGTGCTCATCATTATCTACAGAAGCTAATACAGCAGCATAATCATCAATCCATTCTTCATAAGTCAATTGTCCATTCTTATCAACATCTCCAAAATTCACTAAGAATTCATCTAAAACTTAGTTTTCAGTCATTTAACTTTAGGATGAAACTTTGTATTACACACTCCTCATTTTATATTTCATAATTTATTTACTTAATATCATCAACAGTTATCCTTCCATCTCCCTATTTTATCGAACTTAATAAATGCTTAATCTACAATAGCTTTTCTAGTTGGTTATTCCTAATTTTATGATTAATTCCTTAACTCTTATTGAAACTAAGAATTCATCAAAATCAATTGTTCCACTTCTATTTCTGTCCATTGCTAAGCATAAGATCTTATTTTATTTATTATTCTACATCTACATCAATTTAATTACATGACAATTGAACTCTATTTTCAGCCAATCCTACTTTTAATTCATTTTTATCTAATTTCCTATTTCCATCATCTGAATCCAAACATCTAAAACATAACCCAAACCTTTAATTGTTTTTGTTCCTCATGCATTTAATACATCTCTTACTCTCTTCAATTGTATATATGTTATCTATTTCTATATAAATTTGCTCTTATTATTATCTATTCATTATTTTAATTAATTAATTTAATAAAATTATCTTATATATATTTATTAATCAAAATAGATGTGATAAATATTTATTGTTTTAACTCTTTAAATATTTTCTTATATCCTCTTTCTAGTTTCTCTTCTCTTTTTTTTAAGAAATCATCAAACCATGATCCTGTAATCTAACTTTTTCTGGCAACTTTGATTAATGAGATTTATGGGATTTTTATCCTTAATTATTAGAGTAAGTAGTTGCACCAGAAACTTTATTCATTCGACTTTTATTTAATTTTTTTAATTCTTTTGTTTCAACTTGAGAACTAATAAATTAATTAATAATTCTTTCATAAAATTAATAGTATTAATTAATAAAAATAATTAATTTCAAAATTTAAATTATTATTAGTATGTACTTTTTCTACATTATTATCTTTTATATTTTTCTATGATTCGATCTTTATTGTATTATGGAAAGTATAAATTTAAATTACATGCCTATTCAAATGTATTATGAAATTATTCTTCATTTAATGGACTGCCCTCATGATATTATTTATATGTATCAGTTTTTATCTTAAAATCATGTTTTTAAGTTGTATCATGTTTAGTGTCCTCTCTAATTTTTTAACTCTCTGTTCTTATTGAAATTGTATATCTCTAGCTTCTTGATCTACTCTACATTGATAACTATTTTGATGTATATGAGGCTTCCTTTAAATTATTATTAACTTTCTCTGTTTCATTCATCTCACTTACAGATGGTATAGCTTATAAAGGATTTTTTATAGATTTTGTATTTGAATAACTAGTACCAATTAACGATTTCTTTTTTCTCTCTTAAGCAACAAACAAACTATCTTCAACTCCTCCTTTTTAAAATATTTATTTATCTTCTTAATAGAGCAAAGGAGGAGATCCATTTGGTACTGGAGGAATGCCAACACTACTTTAAGGTAAATTCCCACTACTAGATTAACTACTTGATTTATGTTAATATTATTATTGTTAATAATGCTATTATTATTACTATTATTATCTTTATCCAATAGAATGATTAGAATATTTATCTGAATCTTATTGTTTAGATATCTTTCTCTTTGGATATTCCTTTAGAAATACATTAAAAGAACTTTACGATAATTAAGAGCTTGGCAATTATTAAACTTTAACAGGTATACCACTTATTTTATCAATTTAAGAGTCATTAGATTTATATCCAGACATTGATTTTTAAAATTTAGATTCTTCATCTGAATGAACACTAATAGAATTCAAAGATCGTGATCTTTTTCTAAATCTCACATTTTTTGATTGTTGATTTTATTATGATTATTATTATGATTATTATTATTATTATTATTATTATGATCTATGAGTATTATGAGTTGGTTCTTAATATCTGATCTCTTAAGTCATTTTAGTTTAATGAGTTCTTTCTAGTTAACTAGGATTAGGTTCTTCTTCCTCAGAGGAAAATGAAAAATTATTCTCTTAAAATAATGAAACAGCATCTTCAAATAACCTCTATCCAAATTTAGCATTAGTAGTCCTTCTACAATTTCTCTTAAACAAAGTTCTTTTATTAGGAATTGAAAATAAGTGTTTAGCTAATAAAGTTTATTTATTTAATATTAAATGTAATCTACGACATTAATCTATATCATGATCAGTTTCTCCACATCCTAAACATTTAATACCTAAATCTAATTTCTAATTATAAAATGTCCATTAATCAATAATCATTCTATAGGTTTACTATTTTATTTAATATATTACATAATCCCCTGGATGAGATTAAAGTATATCTAAGAACATTTACTTAGATAAATAAGCAAATGAACAAGCTGTATCAGTCTTAATGCTATAAGGATGAGCACTATTCTTAAAAAATGGACCATGTCCGAATGCTTCTCCTTATTTCATTTTCCCTATGTAAACTTTTCTATCTTGAAGATCTACAAATATCTCAGCATCTCCACTTACCAATTAATACAATGCTATCCCATCATGAGTACCATTTTCAATTACATAAGAATTTGGAGCAACTCTATATTCTTGAACATTCTTGGTCAAATCCAAAAGACATTCCTAACTAAAATACCTATAAAATATATGAATGTTTGTAATAAACTAACCATATAAACAAATTTAAATTTCTTCTTTTAAATTTGGACTTAAACAATTTATTATTTTATTTTCATCCACTATTCGAAACTTCTCTTCTTAAGTCCATAAATTTTATAAATACTATCTCACTCTAAATTGTAATGATTACTCAAAATTCTTTCTTTACATGTATCTATTTATTATTGCCATATTTTCATTTATTTTCTCATCAAATTTATTCATTTCAGCTATGATCATACCAATTGTATTTATTGAATATGCAAACACAACACTTGCAATAAACATTGTACATACACAAAATAAAGCTTCGTCAGGATTAGCTGGAGTCAAATCTCCATATCCAACAGTAGTCATTGTCATAACAGACCAATATATTGAATAACTATAAAGAGAGAACCAAGAATTTTCTACTATTCCTGCTTTTTAAATCCAATTATATTGGTTCTTTTATCCTACAACATACCAAAGACATCCAAATACATGGGCGTATAAAAAGACTGTTCCTATTACACTCAAAAAACGATATCCAATAACGAATCTTGGATTACTTAATAATCTTCCTTCTAATGAATGATATACTCTATTTAAAGCATTAGATCTTAAGAATGATAAACAATTTACAATTTTAATAATTGTATTATCTGTATCAAATGATTAAATTAATATGATGTTGATCAAAATTGGCAGTATTGAAAACAAATCAAGAAAAAAATATTTCTTTAAATATCTTTTAGCGACTCTCTATTATTTTGTTACAACTTCTCCATTCTCATAATATCCTGTTCTAAATCCTAATACAATATCTAATGAATAAAACATAAACATTATAATTAGAATGTTTTAGGAGTTTTCTTTTTCAGAAATGAAAAACCAATTCAAAACATTTAAATTGAAGCATATTTAAATTGATAATTAGAATAAAGAAGCGAAAGTCAAAAAAAATTTTAACAATTCCCAAAAAAATAAAAAATTTCCTTTAGGATCAATAGTTTCTTTTTTAACCTTCTAAAATATTGTCTAAATTTTACAAAAACTAAAATAAGTCTTGAGTGCAATAAATGCTTTCATACTCTCAATTCTCTTTAATACTTATTTTTATTTGGATTTATCATGAATTTTAATGAAAGTATTATTATTATATTTTTCGTTAGAATGGCTGATATCAGAACTCAAATCTTAAATTAATTACAGTTATTATTTTGATATTTTTTTGACAAATGGTGACAATTATTTAATTTTTTAAATGAATTTCTTGGCTAAATGCATTCTATTAGTTATTTTAGAAAAGATCTTAGAAAAATGTTTATTTTTTCTTTTGGGAGATTTAGATGATTAGATAATAGGACTAATGGCAGTTTTACTTTTTCTTGGATCATCTAATTCTCCCAATTTTTTTAATTCCATATTTGGACTCTCATAAGGAATTAAATCATCTCTAAGAGATTGTTTCAAAGGTGATACTTCTGATATTTCTAAACTATTTCGTCGATTTTAATTTGATGATTTACTTCCTTTGCTCTTATTATCTACATGATTATTAGGATATGTTCTATGTTAGTTTACTTAATCTGGTTTAATGCCATCATAATTAATAAATGCCAATATTTACTCTTCATTTGGTCTCCTTACTTACATTAAGTTTTAATTATTGAGTTCATTAAGATAATTATCAACACCATTTTAATGACTATCTCCTGACATATTGATTGAACCAGAACTTACAGGTTGTAAATTCATTATTTATTAATAAAATGTAAACTTGGGATTCTGAATTACCATAAACTATGCAAAAGAAATTAAGTTTATTATTAGAACAACGTTAAAACCTTTAACAATAAGAGAATCAATTGAAATAAAAGGATATACTCTTTATTCATAAAAAATCACTATGCAAATTACAAAATCAAAATTAACAGACAGTTGAAACTCTTCTTGATAATGAAAAAAGTGAATTAATCAATATTTTTGATTAAGAATTGATCAATTAAAATTCTAGAAGATATTCATAAAGAAGAATGCCTACTTTAGAATAATCTGCTATTTCATTTTAAGAGCAATCTGCTGTATTTCACAAATCTAATAAAACAAATAGATCAGCATCAACTAATCTATCATATTTTAATACTTAATCTCCCTAAAGATTATCTAAATTTAAAGTTGATAACAATACAAGTAGAATACAAGATTAAGAATTAACAATTAAATAACTCTAAACTATTGTTACAGAACAATAAGAAAAGTCTCTCATATAAAATTAAGAAATCTAAATCTTGAAAGATAAAAATTTATCATTGATAAGATAATTAGAAATAAGTGAAAAAAAATTCATAAAATTTTAAAAATAAACTGATTTATTTAAAGAAAATCTAGTAGAAAAATTAAAATCATATGCTTAAAAATTAGAAGTATTGAATGAGAATGAAGAAAAAATCATGATGATGCAAAAAGAGAATGCTAGATTAAAATAAGAAAAAGAGGAGTTACTATTTCTGATGAAGAATAACAATATAGGAACTAGAAAATGACCAAATTAATTTATTTATTTATATATGGATACAACTACAGCACATAACTAACCTTAAATTGAAACATTTGAATCAAAATTGATTACCATTCAAGGAACTTCTTCTCTTCCCAATGAACATGTCTATCGTATAAGAAAAACATTACATCCATAAATTACTGCAAAATAATTTCATTAGAATAAAACACTTATCTCAAATGAAAATTGCATTAACCATTTATGCCATATCTGTAATAAGCTTTCATCAACACCTACCACTAAATATTGTGCTTGTTAAGACAGATAATATCATTTATTATGCCTTACAACTCATATATAATTAGAATTTAAATAAGGCAATGGAATTATGTAATGTGCTTATTGTAATCTATATTATCCTACAATTATACAGACTAAGTACTTATTAATTTCATTTAGCTTATCATATCAAAATTTATCAAAAAAGCAGCTTTTCACATTTGCTTCAGTTTTCTTAATTTTGCTAATATTATTCATTGTTGAAATCACTCTCATGATCTTATTAAATCTTGATTTCCCCTTCCATCTCTTTTTAGCTATTCTCCTCACTATAGAATTGCTATTCTTACTTAAAATAATACAAAGAGTACTAATCTGTGCTAGAATTGTAAGATTTTCATTTAAAGAATATAAATTTTGCGATGAAATTATTTAAACTTAATATGCTTAAAATTCTTTTAAAATTATCTAAGCCATCAAAAATAATAAAGCCAAGTAATTATTTACAGAATGAAAATATATTGTTACTTATAAATTATTTATTTATTATGGTTATACAATTTCTTATTTTTATATATTTTTTATACTTACATGAAATTTATAGTACCAATAATATTAATTTAATTTAAATACTCCTTTTATATATTTTATTCACTTATGAAACACTTTCGCAGATCAGATAGACTTGAATTAAAAATTTAAATTAATTCAAGAATAATTAAATTAATTTAATTTAATAAACTACTAAAATAATAATTTGTGATTCGTAAACTATAAAAATTCTCAAAAATTATCTCTTCTTAGTCTTTGTTTACAAAAATGTCAGATATTAATAATGAAAAATAAAATAAATTATTAAATGTTATTTTTCTTTAAAATTCTTAAATAATGCTTCCTCTGAATGAGATTTTATAAAAAAATAAATGTCAAAATATTTTTTCTTTTCTAAAAATAAGTTAGAAAGGAATTTTTAGTTTTACTACTGCAGAAAAAATTAAAAAATAACAATAGTACCACATATTTTTGAAGATAATTCAATTAACTTTGCAAAAATTTGAGGCAAATAATCAGGGATAATGTTTTCTTTTTTTTAATTAAATTTATTTATTTTAAATCAAAAAAAAGATATCTTAAATTTATAAATTTATATTACAAAAGTGAAAATTTAAATAAAATCTTTAAAGAAAGCCTAGTGTTGCAATGATGAAAATTAGTATAAACTAACCACATTCAGTATATATTACAAAACTATTTTTAATGCAAAAACTTATTTTTAAATGAAGTTTGCTTGGAGAAATAGATTGATAATAAATAATATTCGTACTTTGGTATATAGATAAAAATAAAAAAAAGTTAGCAGACAAACCAAAATGTATAAGTAAAAAAAGAGTTGAGTAGAGAGGAACTTGGAGAATACAATGGAAAAGTTAGAAAGATAAGAAGCTCATCAAGCATATCGGAAATAAATGATTAAAAGTAATTAAGAAGTCCATTAATTGTAAAGAGTAATAATAGTGGATAACCTATGAGTAGAATACGATAATTATATTTATTAATTTATATTCAAATATTGAATTAAGAGCCGAAGAAGAAATAAATGAAAAGAAAGGACAATAAAATAAATGCTAAATTGTAAAAAATTAAAAAATTTATTTCATAAATTATTAAAGGATGGTTATTTTCAATTTTGAGGGCAATTGTAACAATTTATGCTCTTTTTGGAAATGATCTCAGAATCTTAACAGTAAGTGAAGATCAAGATGATCTATATTTTATTCTAACAATAATAAGCATGCTATTTTTACAATAGAAGTAATTTTAACATCGATAGTAAATCCAGATTATATCATAAATGTAATTATTTAAGTGTTAAAATTAGTTTTATTTTTTTCTTGATGTAATTTCAACTGCAACAATGATTTTGGATATAGAATGGGTAACAGATTTAAAGTATGAAGATAAAGAAGACATTGCAATTATCAAGGCTTCAGAACGAACATATAGGGTTGTAACGGAATATCATAAGAATCCAGATAATACATCTAATTTAATTTTTTTTTAAAATCATAAGATAAAATAAAAATGAGATATGGCAGGCAGTATTGGCTTTTTTAAAAATAATTACATCAATTTAAATATCAAAAAAGATAGAGAAATATAAGAATAATGCTGGATTGTATGCAAGAATGAAAGATAATGATATATAAATAGGATTTGGATTACATATGGGATGGAATATAGAAGGAGTAATAGGTTCATCTTTTAAAATAGATTTTTCATATTTTAGTTCTAATTTTGATATTACATTTAGATTTGGAGCTGTTACTAAATAGTTTGGTTCAATTATTTAATTAGTGGCGTATTAAAATAATATTTAACTGATGAATGTCAAAAATAATTAAGAATAATTGATATGGTTACTGTTGAAGAAAATATTGAATCAATTGAAATTCATACTATAAATATATCCATAAAGAATCTTATTTAAAAGTTAAAATATTAAAGTTACAAATTTGATACAAGCAAAATGAATCAAAAAGAATAATAAAATTTTATGGTAATTAATAGATTCAAAAAGAATAATTATAAAAAGATGTTTATAACGACAAAGTTAATGTAGTAGATCTTTTTAATAATGATGAAGAACTTATGTATTGCAGAGAACCTTTTACAAAAGTATTCATTTATATATGTCATTTGTCTAGGTATTCTATCAAACTTAGAATGAAGGGTTTTAATATTATGTTTAAGGTTCCTGGGGTAAAGCATAATCTATATTCTAAAAAACATTAGTATTTTTTTATATTTATTTTCAAGTGGTTGATTCCTCAATATAAGGATGGACCATCTAATACACTTTTAAATGTAATAAATTCTTATGTTGGAACGGCTCCACGTTTTTGACATGGATATAGAGAACTTAAAGAAGAATGAATTTTATTTCATTTTACCTATAAGTAATTTCATTTAAGTATATGGTTTATTCTATTTTGACTACATTTTCTATTATCTTTATTCATTTTAATCTTGAATGTTGACATAGTTTTATAATTTATTTAATGAATTCTTAAGCACAATCTAAATTGGAGAATAAAAAATAGATTCACTTTTCTCGTCCTTCTTCTAGAAATAATAGTTTTCTACCTGAAATTATTTAGACACCATCATAAAATTAATTTCAAAAACAACAAACCAATTCTATATTCAACTCTTCAAAAGGAATTGATTAATTAAACTTATTCAAAATTGGATAGGTTGAATCAAATATTGATTAATTTACATCACGTATGGAAATTTAACGTAAAGAACTCATTAGAGAAATATTTAGATAAGATAAAAAACATACTTAACTTAAACCATTAATTAAATAATAAGAATCAACTCATAGAAACAAAATTAAAAAAGATGATTTAATTGAAGATTAACAAACACAATTAAAAAGCATTCTTAAAAGAAAAAGCTCAAATAGTAGAGAACATACTGATATTTTTGATTTCTTTGAGTTAGATAATTAGGATTTAAAATAATAATAAAAACCAAATCTCAATAGATTAAAACATACCAAATAAGTTTCTCTTCAACCAATAGAAAAAGATGACTATTCTCCTAATCCTCCATTAAATTAGGGAAAGAAAATTGTTTCTTTTAATAAATAAATTTAAATTAAAGTTATCGATCCTAATGAAGAAAAACCTAAATCTAATTAAAAAACATTTAGAAGAATGTACACTGTTGCAGATCTTCTAGATAAGTCATGATTTCAGTTATATATTAATATATTTTCCATACTTTATCCTAAATTCATCAACATATTCTATTTTTAATTTCTCATAATACTATTTAAAGAATTCTTGATTTCTAATTAAATCATTAAAAATTTATAAACAATACAACAATCTACTAAATATGATTTATCATTAATAATTCAAGTAATTCTTTCATTGTTTGAATTATATTTTAAAAATATTCTGCATTGAAAATCTTATACAATCAAATTATATGAAATCAATTTAAGAATTGTTGGGATATTCATTTTATAATAAAAAAATTTTATGTTAATTTTAATTCATAATTCAAATAATCAACAATGAATACAAATGAGATTATATATTAGTAGTAACAGGAATAATAAGAAAGATAACCAAATCTTTTTGAGAGATTATGTTCTTGCATTTATTTTTTTAGAAAGAAAACGCATAAAACTAATGAAAAGTATTAACTGGGAATAGATACACCTAAATCACATGTATTATTGAAAAATATATATATGAGAGCAGAAAAATTTGTGTTTTAGATTTAGATGAAACATTAGTACACAGTTAATTTAAACCAGATAATGGTTTTGATTTTTCATTAGATGTATTATTATCTAATATTATAGATCATAGTGTAAAGTTAATTGTTTAAAGTGTATGTAGCTGTAAGACCTGGAGTTGAAAATTTTATTGATACTTTAAGTGAATACTTTGAGGTTATAATGTGGACCGCTAGTTTAAAAGAATATGCAGATCCTGTTATGGACATTATAGATCCATCAAGAAGAGCATTAACAAGATTATACAGAGATAGTTGTACTTAAATTTAAGGAGGTTTAACTAAAAATTTGAATAAATTAGGAAGAAGTTTAAAAGATGTTTTAATTATCGATGTAAGAATTTAATTTATTTTTTATAGAACTCTCAAATGTCATTTATTTTTTAACCAGAAAATGGATTTTTGATTAAAGACTTCACTTCAGACAAAAATGACAATGTACTTGAATCTCTTCTACCCTTTCTAATTTGGTTAAGTTAGGTATATTATATATTTTATTAAAAATTAAGTAAAATGATGTACGCCCAGTTTCTTAATTATATTAATAATTTCTAATGAATGAATTGACTTAAAGAAAACCTCAAAAAAAAAATTTATTATCTTAATCTATGATTTTAAATAATTAGAGTCCTAATAAAAAATCTGATGTTTAATAAGCACAAAGAACTCACACTGTTAATCATTGTGATGTAGAAGAAATTGAATTAAGAGCTGAAGCTAACTTAAATTCACCTAATATTGAAATTAAATTAGAAGATTAGACAGATGATGAAAGTCGTGAAACATTTGAAATTAGTAATTGTTGATTTTATTACACTATTTAATAACTCTTATTCCATTTTTTTTTTTTAATTCATTATAAGTATATCACTTTTTAAGATTAATTTTTATATTATTTATGTTAATTTTATTTTTTATGAACTTCTATTCATAGTTAAACTTTTGTAAGTTGACCGTTATTTTTGTATTTAAATATCTTTCTTAAATTATGATATTTGACTTTATATTTAGATTGTTAATTTTCTTTTATATATTAATATTATTATTATTCTAGCATTTTAATAAAATGTGAATTTTCTTATAATAAAATCACAGAATATTTCTGGTGATTATTATTATATTGAAATTTAACTGAAATTAAATTACAACTAACTGGTGTAATAACTAATTAAATATTTATTATTAAGATTTAGTCACATAAATTGTAATGCAAAATTTGCAAGACTTCCTTAATAATATGAATAATTATAAACAAATAGACATTCCTTGTTATTATAGAAATCAATTTAAAAGCAAAGAAAGCCTAATCAATCCAAATTTTTATGAAATTTCACAAAAGTCATATTATAATTTTATATAAGGCTTTTAAACCAGGATTATCATAAATTAAATAAGAAATGGGACAAATAGAGCAAATAGCTTTTTATATTGATTATGATTAAATATTTTCAGATGAAAAACAAAAAAAATGTCAATCCTACTACAGAAGAATGGAGAGAATTAACAAATATTTTAGGATTTGAAGAATAAATATTGAAATAAAGATGGATAACTTTAATAACTCCTATGGCTAAAAGCCTAATTTGGGAAAAAGAAGAGGACGATATCATAAAGTTATAGATGAAGTATGAATTATAAGTAAATTACGTAATAGTGTAAAATAAGGAAAACATATTTGGACTGAAATAGCATTAGAATTATATAATCATAATAATGGTATGTATGTTAGAACTCCAAAATAAGTTAGAGAAAGATGGATGAATTATTTGAATCCTGTTTTGAAAAAGTTTAATAAAAAATATATAATTATTTCTTAGGTCAAGCTGGACAGATCAAGAAGATACTTAATTATTATCTTTAGTTATGAAGAATGGCAAAAAATGGTCAAAGATATCTAAAGTTTTAGATGGTAGAACTGAAAATTAAGTTAAGAATAGGTAAGTGTTAATTCAATTATTTTTAGATATAAAAGTTTAGTTCATAGAATTTATTAAGAATAAGATGATGATATTGATGAATTAATTGCAATAAACTAATATTTGACAAAAAAAAACTTAATAAATTCTGATCAAAAAAATATAGACATAGAATGTAAATTAATTGATATTCCTAAAGATAAAAATGAGAAAGAAATAACACAAAAACTTTTAGTATAAAAAGCTGAAAAGGATATTCTTATTTAAGAAAAAAAAATTGAAACTGAAATAGATAAATGCGAATAGGATGCAGTCAAGTAGGAAAATTATTATATGTATTTACTTTAATAACTTAATAATTAATTTTGTTTTTCAACCTAAGGAAATTATGATTCATAAAGCATAGAAAATAGAAGTAGCATATCTGATTTGAATCATTTTGGATGTTGGTTAAGTCCAGATATCAAAAATAAATTTAGTGAGTAAAATAGAATATCAACTAAAATACTACCTGACTCGCCTAAAATATAAGAATAATAATAACAATACAAATAAAATAATTACATAAAAGAGACAGCTACTGAATTAAGTTTTAGTAATGTTTATGCATAAACTGATAATCATTTTTAAAGATAAGAATTTTATTTACAGGATGAACAATTTCCAAATTTATTAGATATAAACTAGCAAAATCAATAACCATCATCAATTGTTTATTCTCCTTTATATTTTTATAACAATCATTTCACAGTCAAATCCCCTTTTTAAAGTCCTATGCAATCATCTCCTTAATCATAGCAGATTTTAGAAGAACATAAATAAAACGAGATTAAAAAATAAAATCACTAAGTATTTAATTTTTAGATTATAAGGATATACAATTTTAATTCTTAAATAATAACGATATTATTTCGAATTGGAAAAATAAGAGAAAATAAGATTTGTAAAATTTAGAAGAGTGAAATATAATTTTATTATAACTCATTATATAAATAATTAATTAAATGTAATCTTTTATGGAATTTCTTGTAAACAAAGTTATAGTTATACAAGAAAGATTATTTGATCAAAATAATAATTGAATTATTATCTGAATTTTTAGAGATAAAACTTAGCTCTTTTTTTAAAATAAAAATTTTTTTTGATATGAAGTAATTAACTACTTATTGATAGCATAATGGATTTGTATAGGGTCCAAAGATAAATTAGTTGGAATAAAAATAAAGGAGTAAGCAAAGATATTGCAAAGTCAGTTTGGGATTTCTGGATGCTTGTAGAAGAGAACGGATTTTACCAAGTTAAATGAGAAAATCTTTATGTTAATTAGTTTTGATTAAATAAAAGAGGAAGATTAAGATGAAGATTTAAAATTTTGTAATAAAGATAATGATGAAAATTTTAAAATTAATTAATAGGGAATGATGAATTAAATAAAAAAAAAAGAAGATTGATAAAATAATTTTTTACTATTGATTAATTTTAAATTCATTATAAAATTTCTTAGATTATATTTTTTATTAACTTAATTCATTTTTTTAATAAATTATCATAAGATTCTAATTTTATTTATCCTAATTTACATTAGAAAATAGTTCTAAAGTTACACTAATTATTTTATCTAATCTTTCTATTTTATAAGCAATTAAATCAATTTAATAGAGTTTATTTATTTTCAATAATATTATTAATTAAATCATAAATTTCTTTTATTATATTTAATCTAAAAATGCATAATTTAAGTTTACAAAATTGTTTGATTTCTCGTCTTTATTACATTATATTAGCTAAGATGATTCATATAATTTCTTAACTTTTTATAAATACTCCTATACAAGAATCAATTTGGGATTACTTAAATAAAATTCTTTAAGGAATTTAATTACAGAAAAAGAAAAAAGATTGTTTAAAAGATAAATGAAAAAAATAAATTCAGAAATAAAAAGAATGTCACACAGAAAAGGTATACATAGAAATTTATTCATAAAATTTTTAAATTATCTAATGATAAGTGAAATATAAATAAATTCCTTTATAATTTCTAAAAATTTATCAAAATATTGAGGAATTTATTTTTACATTAATTTTACCTTTTATATTAACATAAAATGATACCTTCAGATGATGAGGAATAGTTTTCTCCAAATTCTCAGTTAAATATTATATTTATATTAAAAGACTTAAACTTGAGGCAAGCAACTTTGATTAAAAACCAAAAGATTTTTTGAAAAAATATGCCGTCATAGATCAATCAAAAAGGGTTCTATTGTTGAAACGAATTTTATCAAAAGAAGCTACTATCAAAGAAGCAGCTAAAGAATTTAATGTCAATTTTAGCACTGCTAAAGCAATTTTATAAACATATAGAAAAGAAGGGCGAATAGGAAAAAAGAAGACAAGGGAGAAATAAAGGAAAGAAAAATAGGAAAAAGAAAATAGTATTTAAGTTGAGAGAAAGATTTAATCTATGTATGATCTGGATAGAGATATTTAATCAAAAAAAAAAAGTTTTTCTCCTGATTTAAAAGTACTTATTTATAAATCTAAGTAATCTCTAGCCAATTGATTAACATATTACAAATAGTTTATTACATCAACATCAATTATTAATAGCAAAGACAACTAAAAATATAGTATCAGCTCAAAATTTAGAATAGAAAAATGCCTAATTAGAACTTGCTACTTGTTAAAGAGAATTAGAAAAACAAAAATTAGTTAATTTCCACCTAACCTTGATTATTTCTGTAATTTTATTCTCAACATTTCTTAGTCTCTTTAATAAAAGATATTATCCTTTTAAGTACCTCTAGTCAAAGAAGAATTAAAATGAGTTTCTTATGAAATTTTTATAATAACATTTTATTATAAAAATTCTCAGTCTTATATTAAAATCCATGAAAAAACATTTACTTTTAGTGAATGTGAATGATATGGACATAATATTAGAAGAAGCTAATTAACAAGGAGCACTCTGGTTAGGAAATCTAAATGCTGCTTAAAATCTTACATTATTGAATTAAAAGAACATCAAAACTGTAATAACAGTGGCCAATGATCTTTTTATAAGTTTCAAGCAGAATTTAAACATAACACACAAAGTACAATAATTCTTATTATCAAGTTAGATTTTTAAGGTTGAGGATTCAGACAAAGCTTAAATCATTAATCATTTTGAAGCAATCAACAATGAAATTTTCAATGGATTAAATAATGGATCAGTTTTAGTACATTGTGCTGCTGGGATTTCTAGATCAAGTGCTTGTGTTATTGCCTTTATAATGAAATCTCATAATTGGACTTATGAGAAAACATTTTATTTTGTGAAAGAAAAAAGATTAATAATCAACCCTAATCCTGGGTTTAAGAAATAGCTTATTTAATACAATAAAATACTATAATAAGAAATATAATGTTAAAATAAATCTTAATTAGAAAATTATAGCTCTTAATCTAAAAAAATAAATTCTTGTAGTAAAATAAATAGAAATATTTTAACACCATAAGAGTTAATCAAATAGCTATCTAAAAATTTGATTAAAACTCCTAACAAAAAAATTGACTAATTAAATCGTACTTCTACTCCAGAAGAAAGATAAATCTATAGATAATAATTAGCTAAAAAACGATTTATTAATACTTTTGCAAGTAAAAGTAATGCTTCAATCTCACATTATTCAAATGATAATTCTGTTGTAAGTTAAAAAAACCCTGATTAAAAACCTATTAAAATCAAAGCTTTATTAAGTATGTACAGAAAGCTTGACATGAGTGTAATGGAATTAGGGAGAACAAATTTATGAAAGTTATCATAGATTATATTTGTACTCATTATTGCATCAATATTTTATAATTTTATTATTTCGATTGAGGATTGTTAACAAATCTTAGCAAACATTTAATCCTCTGTTGTTAAAATATAGAATATTAAATTTTAATATACTATCATCATCATCAATTTATATGGCATCTAAACTATTATTAATTGCATTAGTTTCTTCGTCTATATATCTGAAAAATAAAATTCAAGATTTAAAATGTTCTTAACTTTTGGTCAATTCTTGATAAATTTATATTCTAAATCAATATATAATTTTTACAAAATATAGATTAAAAATATATAACATTTATGAAATTGATAAAAAGAATATTTTTTTTTAACTTTTGATTTATTTATGCAATATGTTAATTTAGAAATATATTTATTAGATTAATAACATTTCTTAATTAATTTTATGAAAAAGTGGTTGTAGAAAAAGTTAAATTAAAATGTTTAGGAAGATTAAAATAAGCATAGACTAACTAGAAAAGAACGATATATGAGGAAATATTTAAATTCAGAAAAATGTTACAATTATTGGGAGATTATGACATCGAATAATTTAATTTAAGTAAATCTAAATAGAGAATCATAAGGATTTGTTAAAAAAGTTTAGGAAATCTTTAAGAATCCTGAATAAATGTTTGATTTTGAATTACAATAAAAATTAATGGAATTATATACTGTTTAAGAAGAATAAACTCCAGTATTAGCAATATTTGCAGTTGGATTTCATCATAAAAGAGGATCAGAAATTGAATATTGTTATCCAGAATTATCATAATTTACAAATGATAAAGAAAATATAATCAATACAGTGACAATATGTGCTTTACCAGATGCTGTACATAATGCAAATGAAGACTATTTATATTTTAATTTTGATTCATAAATAAATGGTCAAATAAAACAATTATTTGGTGTAACATGTTTTAAATAGATAAAAGTAACAGAAGAATTGAAAAAATAAAACCCAGAATTAACTAGAGGACATATCTAAAAGGCTATCTGTTTATTATCTTTTGTACCTCTTTTTGGATATATTAAGAGTAGATTAGAACCTACAATATAAGCTTATTTTCAATTATAAGACTTTAAAGATATGTCAATCTTAAATTATGCATTTGACAGTATTTTATAAACTTTTGATTTAAAGAATGTTGAGATTTCAGCCTTATATACAGATACAAATTTGATTGGAATATTTTAGATTTTTAAAGATAAAATATTTAAAATTCTTAAAGCCATTTAATTTTAATTAAAAATAATTATTTACTCATAATCTTCTAGTGTTTGTTCTAGATTTATTATAAGCATATTATCATTAATTCCAGGTTTATTGAATTTTAATTTGTAATCTAAAAAGTCATTATTATAGGTAATTAAATTCATTTATGTTAAGGCAAGTTATTTAAGTAATTTTGGTTTACCATTTAAAATATTTACAGAATCTTATCGATTATTTATGCATTTTAGTGTGACAGACATTAATATATTATAGAACAACAATATTAAAGGTTATTTAATAGGGACTACAAATAAATTTATTAAGGGTCTTAATTCATTAAATCCTGAGATAATAATTGATATTGATACAGGAGAATTAAATATTTTAAAAGAATAACATAAGAAATTATTAAAGTAATATATTTGTATAATAAAGTCTTAAATTAACTGAAAAATAACTTTATAGTGCTATTAATACAGAATGTTTAAAATAATTGGATTAAAATTAATAAGATTAATTAAAAAAGTTAATACCTATTTAAAATCAGAAGATTACATTTTAAGGAAGTGAAGATTGGATTAGAAAAATAATTCATGATCATTAAATAAAAGTTTTATCTGAAATTAGTTATTTTGTTATGAATTTATAAACATTTGATGAAAGGATAAATAAGTTGACTGCAATAAGAACTAGAAAGAGTATGATAATTAAATAAGAAATAAGTCCATAAGATGTAATATTAGAATCTATAATAAAAAGAGCTCTGATGATGAAGAAAATGCATCTTAAGACCCGTAAAAATTAGAAATAAAGAAACATAAAGAAGATTTAGTTGAAGAATTAAAAATTAAGGAATATCGTAATTTACTCTATGATTTAATGAGAGTGATAAGAAAAAATAATAGAAAAGGTATTATTTATTGGATTACTAAAACTGAAAATGGATTAAATTGGTTAAAATCATTTGATTATTCAATAATTACTAATTCAGAATGTTTTGATAAGAGTTCAACAGTGCCATTTTACAAAGTGTTTGAGAATGCAGATATTTATATAGGAAATATGTAATATGGTGGAATGATTGAATTATTTTAAAAAAGGGTATATTTAGGTTAGATTCAAGATTTTATTAAGAATGGTTAAGGAAGATATGAAAAATTAATGGATAAGAAATTTTAATATAAGGGTTAATTTAAAAGTAATAAATTTCATGGGGATGGTATATTAATTGTTGTAAATGAATTTTAATATAATGGTCATTTTGAGTAAATATATAATTTTTAATTCAGATATAATTAATTTAATGGATATGGAAATTTATAAAAAGATAATTTAATTTATGAAGGATGGTTTAAAAATGGATCTTATAGTGGAACTGGAAAATTAATATTACCAAATAAAGATGTTTATGTTGGTTAATTTTTAGAAGGGTTGTTTTAAGGAGAAGGTTAATATGTTTGGTCTAATGGTGATATATATAAAGGAATTTATAAAGCAGGAAAAAGACATGGAATGGGAATTTATTAAAGTAAACATAAATTTTAATTATATTTTTAGCTAAATTATATACATATGAAGGAGAGTGGGTTGAAGATTTAAAGGATGGATTTGGAGTTATTACATTATTAGATAATAATTGTAAATACTAAGGATAATTTTAAAAAGATGAGTTTTTATTAAATTAAGATATTATTATCAAATTTCCAGATGATAGCATATATAAAGGTAAATATGATAATTATTATATAGGATAGATTCAAAATTATAAACCTCATGGAAAAGGATATTTATAATTTATTGATGGAAAAATTTAAGATGGAAATTTCAAAGATGGAAATTTTATCAATCAGGAACAAGCTGAAGAATAAAACTAAAATGAATAAGTTTCTTATCATTAAGAAAATTAAAATATAAAAAATACCATTTAAATAGATTCATCAGATTAATAAGCTATTTAACTAAATTAAACTATTGACTAATAGAAAAATTTATTATAATAACTAGATGATAGTTCCAATCAATCAACATGATTTATCATTCATAAATTAAATAATTTTGTATTAACAATTAATTTATAATAATCTAAGTTATTAATTTAGTTAAAAATTTATGAAAAATTATTTTTAATTTTATCTGTCTTTACAAGATATATTCTAAATATTTAGTAACTAGTCTAATGTTAAATGTAATAATCTTTAAAAATTAGTATAAATCTATAAAAAGTATACAATTCAAAATTCTTTTATTCTGATTATTTTATTAAAATTAAGAGGATAAATATTGAATAATAAATAATTTATGACTTGAGATTAAATTTTTTTAACAAAATATTTATTTATAATTGATTTGAATTAAAAAATATATCCACATTCAAAGGCCCAACTATACTAATTGAATAATATTATAGAAAATATAAGAGTATTATATA